CTATACCGGCACTCGCGCCAGTTACTAGCACCACTTTGTTTGAGAAGTCGTAATCCATGTTGAGTTCGGGTACCGCGTGCTTACTACTTTAAGTTTCGTCAGTTGCTAGCTATTTATATTATTTGCACTGTTTATAAATATCCGGTCTTATCTTACTCGCGGCTGCCGGCGGGTGGTTGCCCATTAGTGCTCAATCATTGTCAACGGCTATAGCAAATTGCCAGGGAGATGGTTACTAATTAATTAAAATATTAGCTTATTTACGGTAAAAAAGTAAATGTGAATTACAATAGAAATAATCTTCTGAACGTAACATTGTCAGTTCGTAAACTGGTTTTTAGTTTGTCTCTATTTTTTACCAGTAGGTGGATTCCCGAGATGAAGTTTATTGTTGATTAATGTACACATATCAAAATGTTTCACTTAAGAATTTTGTCCTTCATTTGTACCATTATACCTGCATATTTAAATAATACGAACAATTTGTTGTGCAACCCTGCTTTGCTTAAGTGGTCCAGAGAAAAAGTAACCCATCTATATCATTTGCCAACCCCTGAACTATCTTCCGACAAAATTAACACCATATTTGCAGTCGTACGTTGCGACATGGAAAAACACAAACAAACACACTTTCGATTTAATAATGTTATTAAGGAATTTGCAAATCATCGAAATACATATTTGATAAAATTTTGCAAAGTCACGATGACTTGTATAGTTACACAATGTTATAAAATATTGGAGCAATTGATGCACCGTGCCGGGGTCCCCAAAACTGCAGATATAGGTATACCTATTTAAATAGATATAGGTACCTACTTACACTCCTACTGACTAAAACCCACCCCGTTCCAACTCCTGCTCTTCGAGCCGGAACCCCGGCAGTCCATTAAGTCCTCCGCTGTGCGGATACAAAGAAAGCTCGGTACCATGTGGTGATTATTATTATTATTTATTATAGCATAAGCCGGTAGCAGACGGATCACCTGATGGTAAGCAATCGGCGCCGCCCATGGACATTCGAAACACCAATGCGTTACGATTGCGATGAAATGAAATGAAACCTTTATTTGTGATACAGAGGTACATTTGGTTGGTCATTTAGATTAAAGTGCGCTATGATCAGCTTATTTTAGACATACAAATAATCGTTTAAAAGTTTAAATCAATAATTGGATTGTAGAGGATTCGGGGATTCGGGAGACGGGGACTAGAGTGGGGGGGGGGGGTTATTGGGCCTCCGGTAACCTCACTCACACGACGAAACACAACGCAAGCGTTGCTTCACGTCGGTTTTCTGTGAGGCCGTGGTATCACTCCAGTCGAGCCGGCCCATTCGTGCCGAAGCATTTTTTTTTTTTAAGGGGGGAAAATCATCGAATGACTCCTCCCACCTGGGTGAGGCGAGAGGGAATGTCAGACTCTTACTGACTAAAAACCACCCCGTTCCTTCTCCTGCATTCATTTTCGTGCCGAAGCATAGCTCTCCTACACTTTACATTATTATGGTGTTATGAGCATTCATCGATTGTGAAATCGATGAATGCGATCGAAAGTGATCGAAAATGATAAAAATTCCTAAGTATTATCATTTTCCAAACGTATTTAAAAACCTTTTGAAAATTATCTATTTTAAGATCTTTTTTATGTAATACGTCAACAAACAAGCAGACAGATCACCTGATAGTAAAAAACCGGTTCATTCAATGGGCACCCGCCGCACTAGAGAAGTTACAACACAAGATTGGAGACTGGGGCTAGGGGGGGGGGGGGTGATTGGGCCTAGAGAGTCATCCCTCACACGGCGATACCAACCTAATGATGGTTTTGGGCATCTAATGTTCAAAGATACAAAACATCACGCCATTTAATCCTAGAAGGCGTAGAAGTGTAAGCCTAAAGACTTTTCACCTATATTATTGTTTTTAATTGCAACCACGAAACGGGCACGAGCGAGAGAAGAAAAAATCCCCATAATACATTGCTTGATTCGGGAATCAAACCCAAAACGTTCGGCAGTCGCTCTTAGGTAGATACAACCGTTCAACCAGCGAGGCAGGTATGAGTCATCAATTTGATGTTTTTGGATTTTGAATAATATCTATGAAATGTCCATCTTGTATGAAAAATATAAAACGATATTTTTTTCATGTATATTTTATTTGTATTAAGCGATGTATCTAATTACCCATACATACAATCAATGCATCTTATTTACAAATTCTTCAAAGACATTTTGTACTGCCTCTGGGGTGTTAAGTATTCTGGAAAAAAGTAATAGCCTGTGGGGGCAAGGTCTGGCGAGTAGGGCGGATGACGCAGAGCTTCCAACTCCTGTTCTTACAACTGACCGTCTGCTGTGCAGTATGAGGTCGCGCGTTGTCGTGCAGGAGCACCGGAGACGAACGATTGACCAAAGCTGGTTGGAGCTGTGCCAGCTTCTCCATCATTGTGTTCAGTTCTTCACAGCACACATCTGCAGTAATGCTCACCTCGTTTGCTAAAAAGCTATCATGAATCACACCGGCTACACAAACAGTGACCATCACTTTTCTAGTGTTAAGTTTACGTTTACCTTCCTGAACCAGGATCCAACCAAGTAGCTAAGTGGTTGCGCGGTTATCAAACAGAATCCATTTTTCATCGCTGGTAACAATGCAGTTTAAAATTCCTTTATTTGTGTGTATGTAGAGCAGTGCATGGCACGTCTCGACGCGTACTTCGCGCTGGCGATCATTTAGTTCGTGGGACACCCATTTGTCAAGCTTTATACCTTGCCAATTTTTCCTTTTATTTTTTAAACAATCCTGTGTCGTGGGTACGTTTACAAACATACAAGTTTACATACACATGACGCCCAGATCCGGAACAACAATCTGTGGATCACACAAAGAGTTGTTCCGTGCGGGAATCGTACCCGCGACACGTTGCGTGGCAGCCAGTTGTCATTAGGTACTATTGTTTTATCATACCGTGCCGTATTGTTTGATTGTTTTGACGCTAATATTGAAAGCTGCGGCTAATTCAGCTGTAGATTGTATATCATACTTCCAAAAACGCCTTTTAGTCGGTGCCATAACCTCATATCAAAATGATCTAACCTAATGGTCACAAAATTGTAAACAGCTTAGTATTAGGCATCTATTAAGGTTTTAATGAGTAACTTTGTTTAGAACTTATGGCACCGAGTTCTAACGTATCAGTGGGTGGGTTAATACTTAATACTATTATTGGTACTAATAGGTTATCAGCATTAATAATAGGTAGTTATGGTTTACTTTTTAGTTTTTACTCTTTGTCTATGTTTAATTTTTTGGTTTTTTTTAACTCGTTGAGTACCTACCGTCATTAAAGAACAATAGGTTGCGGTCACCGGTGTCCTCGCGGTGTTTGATAGTTTAAATCGTTTTTTTAAAGTTATCCAATCTGTAAATCACAAAGAGTTGTTCCGTGCAGGAATCGAACCCGCAACACGTTGCGCAGCCGCTGGTTGCGCAGTATTTTTATTAATAAATTTTATTTTATTGCGCATTTGAGAAGTACAAATACTTAAATATATCATCTAATTATATTACCTTTAAACGAGCAATTCTTTTATACATTGTATACTTGGTCAGGTTCAATGCCAACAAAGCCCAGGCGTGTCTATTCTCCGCTAAACGGAGTAGGTTCCCACTGACTCCTACTTTCCGGACTGTGTCCGTTCCGATGGGTCACCGTCTCGAGCTTCTTGGCGTAACTCTGACGCCCACTCTCAACTTTGGCTCGTATATTGAATCAAAGGTGCAACTGGCTGGTAGAAAGTTGGGTGTCCTGTCGAGAGTGAGACGGTACCTCACGCCGGAGCAGTTGCTCACTCTTTACCAAACACAAGTTTGGTCGTGTATAGAGTACTGCTCCCATCTTTGGGATGGCTCGGCGAAATACCAGTTAGAAGCCCTCGAATCCATCGAGAGGCGTGCCAAGACGCTCGTCAATGACGATTCGCTTGTGGAGGCTCGGCTTCAAAGCCTCGAACACAGGCGCAAAGTCGCAAGCCTTTCGATCTTCTATCGGATACATTTCGGTGAGTGTGCGTGGGAATTGCACAACCTTATCCCCCTAGTCCAATTCACCACTGTACCACCAGACGAACGGCAGTCTGCCACCCTTATATGATGGACATTCCACTCATTCGCACGAAGCGTTCCGCGTCAAGCTTCCTCATGCGAACCGCTAAGGAATGGAATTCCTTGCCGGAGTCCGTTTCCAGTCAAATATGACTTGGATGTCTTCAAGTCCCGAGTGAACAGGATGATGGAGCACGCCTACCTATGAGCAAATAGGTAGGCGTGCGTTCTGCCACATCATCGCTTACCACCAGGCGAGATGGTGGTCAAACGTCGACCTATCAAGTATATTAATAAAAAAAAACATACAGGTGTACGGTAAGACAGTACAGAACGCTCCTGAAACGCCAGTTCAAATGTGTCTTTTATTTTTTCTGTTTTCTATGTTATCTTTTTTGTACTATTCTAGTTTCATTTAGGTGTTTTTTATTCTATTTTTGTTTTCTTGAAAAAATGGTGTAGGTTCCTACTAAAAAACACCGAGCAAAGCTCGGTCATCTATAATAATAAATGAAAACAGAAGCAACAACTAAACATAGCAATGAATAATATATTTGAACACAACAAAATAAAAATTTATTAAAAAAAGAACAATTGGGTTACAAAAAAAAATATTTCGACTGTTGAATAATAATCACACTTTCATTAATTGATTTTATGACCAACTTAATTTTAGTATTTTTCCAGCAATTTTTTAAGAAATAAGTATACTGTTTGACGCTTAAAAAACCTGACGTCACAATACACAATCTCGTACAAAATTCATAGAAAACTGTCGTTTTTGACAGTTCGAATAAAGTATTGAATTTGACTAGTTGGCAAGTACCCAATTCTATTTGTAGAAAATTCAATTTTATATACAAATAAGTTGGTAGTACACAATTTTAATAATTATTTGCTTGGTGGTGACGTGGTGTTGAACCGCAGTGCGCCGTCCACCTCCACGACGGTCCCTGTGACCAGCCTGCTGTGCTCGCTGGCGATGTGCACGACCATCCTGGCGATGTCGTCTCCCACACACGGCTCTCCCAAAGGAATTTGTTTACTGACTTCACCCAACCAACTTTTGTACTGCTCATCAGTAGAGCCTGTTATACGCTTCACGAAGTTTGACACCTGAGATAAAGAACACGAGTTAGTACATAACAAGTGATTCTAATAAGATATTTTACTTCTACATAAGTAAGATACTAATAAGTTGGCGGCGGCGCGTGCACTGGATCGCTCGATTCCCTACAATCTGGTTAAGTTTGGCTGTGATGGTGTACGTGTAATTTTTGTGGACGATATGATTTTATTGTCCTTGGGGTTCTTCTTTGATTGGATTTTGGTGTTACATTGTTATCAAAAAATGTAACCAATAAAACTACCTATGTGAATAAAAATTGTATTGTGAACCTGATTGAAAAAGAGTAACCTATGGAGTTTCTTGCTCGTTCTTCTCAATAGGAATCTGCACCTTGGAATGAGCAAATAGCTTCACTTTAATTTTTTTGTTGACGTTGCCTTTGAAAACCAAAACACTATTTTATTGTTGACTATTTTATTGCATTGATCTTTTACTGGCAGGTAGATAGGCTACTGGGGCGGTACTTACAGTGATTCCCGGGCTGACCGAATTGACTCTAACACCTTTTGGGGCAAGCTCCAGTGACACAAGGCGAGTGAAGTGGTCCAGTGCAGCCTGAAACATAAGCGAAGCGAGTTATTTGATATCTATACATCTCCGTTTCGTACCTACATATTTACATAGGTATAAAATTATATCTCACCTTAGCCATGCCATAAGGCAAGGAGCCCACGGCAACTACAGTAGCTGATATACTAGAAATATTGATTATATTTCCCTTGGCCTCGATGAGGGCTGGCACCAGCAGCTTGGTGAGCAGGTACACGCCGCGCACGTCGATCCTGAACACGTCGTCGAAGATCTTCATGTCTGTCTCGTGCAGGATGCTAGTGCGGGCACCGATGGCGGCGTTGTTCACCAACACGTCCAGCCTGGAACGAATTTTGCCAAATTGAATACATCACTAACTGCTACGCATTAATCTAATAAAGTTTAATAATCGTTGAATTCTACGATCCGCAAATAGACTTAAATCATTAAGACTAAACATAAGCACTTAGGTACCTCTTAAAATGTTCAAGGGTCTCCTTGGCAGTCTTCTGGATCCCCTCATCAGTCCCCAGGTCCGCGACGATCGCCAGCGGCTTCACGCCCTTCTGCTTCTCACACTCGGCCGCGACTGCTCGCAAGTTAGCTTCATTTCTTCCCACCAGCGACAGCTTCGCGCCAAGTTTAGCGAACAGGAGAGCGGTGGACTCTCCTATACCGGCACTCGCGCCAGTTACTAACACTACTTTGTTTGAGAAGTCGTAATCCATGTTGAGTTCGGGTACGCGTGCTTACTTAATTTAACTCTCGTCAGATGCCGGCTATTTATATTATTTGCACCGTTTTCCGGTCTTATCTTAATCGCGGCTGCCGATGGGTGGTTGCCCATTAGTGCTCAATCATTGTTTGTCTACGGCTATAGCAAATTTCCAGGAGATGGTTACTAAATTAATAAAATATCTTACTTACGTTAAAAATATATAAATTCCAATAGAAATAATCTTTCGAACGTAACTTTGTCAGTCCGTAAACTGGTTTTTAGTTTGTCTCTATTTCTTACCAGTAGGTGGATTCCCGAGATGAGGTTTATTTTTGATTTACGTACACTTATCGAAAGGTTCTACGAACAGTTATATACCTCGACACGAGCTCAAAGAGCAAAACTGACACGGTTCTACACCGAGGATATTCCTGACATCAGCCTGTACGAGATTAGGATGGCTCTCAGACAGCTCAAAAACAACAAGGCATCGGGTGATGGCGATATCACAATAAAACTTCTGCGAGCGGGTGGATAACCAATACTTTTAGTTCTCCAGAAACTATTCAATTTCGTCATTCTCGAAGAAACTACGCCGAAAGCATGGCAAAGGAGGGTAGTGGTTCTGTTCTTCAAAAAAGGTGACAACTCTTTGTTGAAGAACTATAGACCCATCTCGCTTCTGAGCCATGTACCTATATAAGCTGTTTTCTAGGGTCATCACGAACCGTCTCGAACGCAGGTTTGATGACTTCCAGCCTCTCGAACAAACCGGGTTCTGGAAAGGCTTTAGCACTATAGACAACGTTCATACGCTGCGGCAAGTTATACAGAAGACTGAGAAGTATAACTTGCCACTATGCTTGGTGTTTGTGGACTATGAGAAAGCCTTTGATCGAGACCTGGACGGTGCTGCAGTCTCTCCGGGGATGCCATATCGACTACAGATATATCGAGGTGCTAGTGTTTATATAGAAACACCACCATGCACATGCGACTCTAAGAAGAGAGCACGGAACCAATCAACCAATCCAATTGTAGAAAGGCGTGAGACAGTGATTTCGTCGAAACTGTTCACCAACGCATTGGAGGACGTTTTAAAGCCCTTAAACTGGAGTGGACTGGACATCAATATCAATGGCGAATACATCACATACCTTCGCTTTGCCGATGATATATCATGCCATCATAGTGGAGTCGCCGGAGGACCTAAAGGCAATGCTCAGCAACCTCAATAACGTCTCCCAACAGATGGGTCTTAAAATGAACATGGACAAGGCCAAAATCATGTCAAACATCCATGTTGCATCGGCACCGATCATCGTTGGGAACGATATCCTTGAAGTTGATGACGCTCAAAGCACTAACAGCAGATGGGCCAGGAAAGTCCTTCAGTGGAGACCACGGACCGGAAGACGAAGCGTGGGCAGGCCTCCCGCTAGGTGGATTTAACTTTGGAAGCTTGCGACAAACACCCTGTATATTCTAAAGCTACTTGTGATACCCTGCTTTGCCTAAGTGGTCCACAGAAAAAAATAGCCTGTATTTATCAATATCCAACCCCTGAACTATTGGGCTCGCTGTCATTGCAGCGGTAACTGGTGAGTCCCCTCTTTGAGGAGTGGCTTGGCGTCCTCACCTACCGCCTGACGCAGGTGCCTACCGGACGCGGAAGTTTCGGTAGGTGGGAACCTACCGAAACTTCCGAATACCGAAACACTCGGGCGTCATCACTGCGAGGATCGCCCGGAGGACACGGTGGAGCATGCGGTGGCGGTGTATCCTGCGTGGACTGAGCACCGCCGTGTACTCAGGGATGTGATCGACGACGGCGACCTCTCGCGTCCGGCTCTGTTTCAGACCATGGTACCCAGCGAGGGGGACTGGGATGCCGTCTCCTCCTTCTGCGAAGCAGTCATGCTAGCTAAGGAGGAGGCGGAGCGCATCAGGGAACTAACCTCCTCACGCCCCGGCCGTCCGATGTACAGATGGGGCCCAACGGGGCTGATGTCGATACGGAGCCGCGGAAGACTTAACGGGTTGGCTCAAAGTGCAGGAGTAGGAACGGGGTGGTTTTTAGTCAGTAATAGTCTGACACTCCCTCTCACCTCATCCGAGCGGGAGAAGTCATTGGATGATTTTCCTCCCTAAAAAAACAAAAAGCCCCCTGAACTATCTTCCGACAAAGTTCATACCATATTTATAGGAAGGTAGTCGTACGTTGCGCCATGGAAAAAGACAAACAAACACACTTTCGGTTTAATAATATTATTAATAAGGATTTTATGAATCATTATGTCACAATTTTGATAAAATTTTGCAATGTCACGATGATTTCAATAGTCACACAGTGTTATAAAATACTAGCTGTACCCGCGACTTCGTCCGCGTGGAACAGTCACTTTGGATAGTTCTTCACAGCTCTTCACCCGTAGGTGATAACGTGATAATATGTAGCCTATATGTTCACTCGTCCTGTAATTGGTATTCATGCAAAATTTGAGGTAAATCCATGTAGTAGGTACTTTTTGAGTTTAGCCCGGACTTACATACCTACATTCTTAATACATTTTATTTTATCGCACAATTTACGAGTTAGAAATACCTAAATAGATTACCTAATCATATTATAGATACGTAATTGATGCGAGCTGGATAAATTAAAACAAAAGTAACAACTAGGCATGACGATGAATAAATATTACATTATATTACCTATATTATTTCGTGAGTCATATGTACTTATCTAATTAATTATTAGATATGGGCTCATTCATGAGCATTCCGCATTCCGCATTCCGCGCCACGCGACGCAGCGACAGTCGCGCTGCTATTGGTTGCTCGACTCTAGCATGGCTTGGAACTAGTCGAGTTCCTCGGCAAACAGTTACGTGAGTAAGCCGAAAACATAATAATTAATTAATAAATATATTTCAACACAAAAAAACAAACTTACCTATTACAAACAAAACAATTCAATTTGTAGAAATTTGATTGTATCTTGTATCTATATTTTTATCTACATTCGATACCTTTGGGTAGAAAGGTCATGTAAAACAAAACAAGAGATTATGAGAAAATGTCTTACAATTTCCGAATGAAAAGGGTTAAATCATCAAATCTATCTATTTTCTTTAGTTTTAAAGTTAGTTCATTGGGGGAGCGAGAGAGCTGCCATCGACTAATGGTAGATGTGGCTCTCATGAACCACTTTGGAGCCGTTGTGATGGCCGCCCGAATAACTCGAGCCAAAGAAATCCTTCTAATTGGTGACATAAATCAGCTTCAGTTTATAGATCGTGATAACCTCTTCCCTCTGCTCTACAGCCGCCCTACATGTATCACACCCATAAGCCAGGAATTGATGTGTACCCACAGAAATCCAATGGATGTGGCGTATGCTCTCAGCACAGTTTACAGAGATAAAAAGGTTCTCGGGGGCGATGATTCCAAAGTCACTCCCCGACACTTTATACCTGGTACACACCCAGGCAGAGAAGGAATCCCTTAAGAACCAGGGATATGGGTCGACCGTGGGATCACGCGTGCTCACGATACACGAGGCACAGGGACTTTCGTGTGCGAATGTGGTTGTTGTGAGCACAGCAAAGAAGAAACATCAAATACACGATAGCGTACCACATGCGGTAGTACCAATATCGCGTCACACGCATGGTAGTATCTAATAAGTAATCTGTGGCATGGTTGCATCTATTACACAGACAACTGATGAGAGTGTGCAAGGGATTAAGGACAACAACCTGAAAATGGCCATCAAACACAGCGACGCGGCAGTCGTGGGTGCTCTCTTGGGCGGGAAATGTTGCTTGTGATAAAATGAATGGGACATAAGGAAATGTGTATCGGCCAACGTGGCAAGGGTTGAGGCGTCATGCACACATAAATGTCCTACAGTCGGTGGCGCTGTGTGTTGGGTTGTTCCGTTCCCAATAAAAAGGTTGACTGGACCAATTCCTGACACACACGTCATACTCGTGGGTGCCTTCAGCTGGGTCAGGTCGGCTCTCCCATCTTGTTGGTGGGCTGATTTCATAGAGCCTCCGAAATAGAAATAAATAGATAATGCCTAATTATTATGTAATTTATACTTTTAGTAATAATTACAGATGTAGTGGACACCGGTCTCTTCGCGGTGTAAGTAATTTTAAAGTTAACTTGGATTTACGCCATAATCACCAAATTCTCGGTTCATACATATCCATGAAAATACTTTAAAAAAAACTGTACCTAAGTGTAGGTCGTAAATCCAGTTTTGGTAACTTTATGGTCACATTTATTTTCGTAAAGGCCCATATTATATATACCTACATAAGTTTCTTTTTTGTATTCACAAATACTACCTACATCGCACATGCAAAGTTTACAAGCGAATAAACATGGATAGAAAATCCCAACGAACAACTGTTGGGCAGAAATCCCGCCAACGGTCACCTCGTCTGGTCGGAGGATCCTCCTTTTCCGATCTTAGGGAACTATACATACTTTTCCCTAAAATGCAAAAATTACCGGTCCGATTACCATAAAACTTGGTTTGATCCCAAGACACATTTATTTTAATGTACCAAACGTATATAAGATTGGTTGAAGGATAGGTTGCCCGCAGTAACCTTACGCTGTAAATGTAAGCCGATGGTCGAAATTAGCTACAAACGCCATTATAAATACGAAAATTTGTGCGATTGTTTTTGTGTAGGTATGTTACTCGGTCACATAAAAACGGCTGATAGGACTAGGATGAAATGGAACGAAGGTACATACATCATGGTCTGGAGTAGCATGGCTACTATATACCTCCAGGAACGCTGAATCTAGTACACAAATAAGCAGGTACACAGTTTTAACAGTTATTTAATGCTTAATCTGCTGGCTGACTAAATGGCTTGAGGATGCGGTGTTGAACCGCAGTGCGCCGTCCACCTCCACGACGGTCCCTGTGACCAGCCTGCTGTGCTCGCTGGCGATGTGCACGACCATCCTGGCGATGTCGTCTCCCACACACGGCTCTCCCAAAGGAATCTGTTTACTGACTTCACCCAACCAACTTTTGTACTGTTCATCAGTAGAGCCTGTTATACGCTTCACGAAGTTTGACACCTGAGATAAAGAACACAAGTAAGTACATAAAAGTATGGGAGAGCCATGCTTCGGCAAAAAATGGGCCGGCTCGACCGGAGTGATACCAAGGCCTCACAGAAAACCGACGTGAAGCAACGCTTGCGTTGTGATTCGTCGTGTGAGTCAATTACCCTCCCCAATCTCCCCAATTCCTTAATCCCCAGCGATCCTCAAACTCCCAATCCCCAAAAGGCCGGTAACGCGCTTGTAACGCCTCTGGTGTTCCAGGTGTCAATGGGCGACGCCGATTGCTTACCATCAGGTGATCCGTCTGCTCGTTTACCGGTTTATGCCATAACAAAAAAAAAGATATTTTACTTCTACCTAGGCAAGATATAAATTAATTGGCGGTGGCGCGTGCACTGGATCGCTCGATTCCCTACAATCTGGTTAAATTTGGCTGTGATGGTGTACGTGTCATATTTGTGGACGATATGATTTTATTGTCCTTAGGGTTATTTTCTATCTTTGACTGGATTTTGGTGTTACATTGTTTTCACGAAATTGAACCGATAAAACTATGTGAATAAAAATTGTATTGTGAACCTAATTCAAAAAGAGTAACCTATGTAGTTTCTTGCTCGTTCTTGTCCATAGAAATCTGCATCTTGGAATGAGCAAATAGCTTCATTTTAATTTTTTATTGACGTTAAAAAGTGCATTCCTGGTATAATTGAAATCATGTACTTACTGAACATGATTTTAACTTTCACTTTGAATACATTTTATTGCATTGATCTTTTACTGGCAGGTAGATAGGCTACTGGGGCGGTACTTACAGTGATTCCCGGGCTGACCGAATTGACTCTAACACCTTTTGGGGCAAGCTCCAGGGACACAAGGCGAGTGAAGTGGTCCAGTGCAGCCTGAAACATAAGCGAAGCGAGAAATTTGATATCTATACATATCCGTTTTGGGCTCGCTGCCATTGCAGCGGTAAGTCCCCTCTTTGAGGAGTGGCTTGAGAGACGCTACGGCGTCCTCACCTACCGCCTGACGCAGGTCCTCACCGGACATGGAAGTTTCGGGAGGTACCTGTGTCTGATGGGGCGGGAGGAAACGCCCGGGTGTCATCACTGCGAGGACCGCCCTGAGGACACGGTGGAACACACAGTGGGAGAATGCCCTGCGTGGGCTGAGCACCGCCGTGCCCTCAGGGAAGTGATCGGCGATGGCGACCTCTCGCGTCCGGGCCTAGTGCAGGCCATGATGCGGAGCGAGGGGGACTGGGATGCCGTCTCCTCCTTTTGCGAAGCAGTCATGCTAGCTAAGGAGGAGGCGGGACGCGTGAGGCAGCGAAGCGCTGCCTCCTCGCAACCCAGCCATCGCGAAGGACACACCGGGCGTCGGGGATCGCGGGACGATCTCCGGCCACCGTAAGCGCGGGCCTGCGGACGGCGAGCATGGGTGGCTCCCCGTCCGACCAGAAACAGACCCGAGCGTACGGCGCGTCGCGTTCCGCGCGCGCCTCAAAGAGCCATCAGACCACCACAGATGGGGCCCAATAGGGCCGATGCCGATTCGGAGTCGCGGAGAACCTAACGGGTAACCGGGGCTCCGGCTCGACGTGCAGGAGAAGGAACGGGGTGGTTTTTAGTCAGTAAGAGTCTGACACTCCCTTCCGCCTCACCCAGGCGGGAGCAGTCATTCGATGATTTTCCCCCCTAAAAAAAAAAAAAAAAAAATACATATCCGTTTCGCCCTACATATTTACATAGGTATAAAATTATATCTCACCTTAGCCATGCCATAAGGCAAGGAGCCCACGGCAACTACAGTAGCTGATATACTAGAAATATTGATTATATTTCCCTTGGCCTCGATGAGGGCTGGCACCAGCAGCTTGGTGAGCAGGTACACGCCGCGCACGTCGATCCTGAACACGTCGTCGAAGATCTTCATGTCTGTCTCGTGCAGGATGCTAGTGCGAGCACCGATGGCGGCGTTGTTCACCAAGACATCCAGCCTGAAATGAATTTTGCCAAACTGATAACATCACTAACTGCTACGCAGTAATCTAATAAAGTTTAATAATCGTTGAATTATACGATCCGCAAATAGACTTAAATCATTAAGAATAAACATAAGCACTTAGGTACCTCTTAAAATGTTCAAGGGTCTCCTTAGCAGTCTTATGGATCCCCTCATCAGTCCCTAGGTCGGCGAAGATCGCCAGCGGCTTCACGCCCTTCTGCTTCTCACACTCGGCCGCGACTGCTCGCAAGTTGGCTTCATTTCTTCCCACCAGCGACAGCTTCGCGCCAAGTTTAGCGAACAGGAGAGCGGTGGACTCTCCTATACCGACACTCGCGCCAGTTACTAGCACCACTTTATTAGAGAAATCGTAATCCATGTTGAGAACGTGCAAATATAACAACTACTAGTATGCTTATGACGGTTCCAGCAACGTATACTAATAAGTAAAACATAGATAAAAAGATAAGTGGCAACTTGAATGATACAATGACACTATTATATCTGGAAACTAGCAATTCATTATTATTAGTAGGTTCTGGTTAAACGACCTCTGCCAGGGGAGTGATTAATTATTTGGATTATTTATTTGTAGTAGGTACTCCATACTTAAAACTACTTATTTTATAGCTATCATAATAATTATTACTCGGTACTCATAATGATTGCTGCGACATCTTGGTTGAATACACAATATTATTATGTTGTGAAGTACCTACCTAAGTTTCGTTTTTTTGTAACAAAAAAATTGGTAAGCTACCTTCAGTACCGCAGTAATTTTCATGTTTTGTATTGTCACTATAATTATTTAGTAGTTACATATCATATACCAAAAATACATAAATACTGTACATTTAAAAATAACATAATAATTTCTGGACAAAACATTTTGAACGCAAGCTGTCGGTCGCTAGACAATATTGCACAAAAAGGCATTGTTTCTTGGTTTCAATTTAACTTATTTTACCAGTGTAAGTTCAGATTCTATACAATTATAGAATCTAGGTATCAGTGCTACTTTTAGGTAAAATCAGCACTGACGCCTGTAAACTCCAGCCATAGGTACAATAAAACAGAACATACAGTTAAGATTAACTTTACTATGCAATTTTAAATACATAAAAGCTACAAAATATAATACACAAAATTTGATAAAACTAAATAAAAAGTTTAGTACCCTAAATTCAAAAATTCGATAAATATAATTATTATGCCAAAGAAAGATAGTTCCACTCTCACATGTGTACGAGGAAAGTTAACAACTGAATAATGTGCTGGTAATTACGATTACATTGGAATATCCATTATTGTGACATGTTTTAAATTAATATTAGTTAAAATAAATAAATATATTATGAATGCAAATATTGCAAAGCAATTGAAATTCACTGTCACATTATTAAATAAACAATGTTTACCCAGTAGTTGTCAGTGGACATTCTAGGTCTGATCTCTTGGGTCTTAATGGGTGTATTGTGGTGTCCCGAGGCCAGCTAGAGATGATGCACTGGCGGTCACTCGTGTCTGAACAGGTCCCTCTCCACAAACAATGCAGAATGAACTATCTCACCGTGTGCCACAGTCATGGATTAACTTAGATATACTTAATGTATATAACATTACAATATACAATGGCACTTTAAAAAACAAAGATTTATCACACAAATCTCATTTGTGTTCCAATATTATTTCATTCATCAGGAAACCAATTAAAACAAACTTTTACAGGTATTTAACAAAATTGCAGAATAAAATCGCACTACCGGCGAAACAACAATCTTAAATAATACTATTCATCTAAAAACATTAATGAATATTTCAAGTTACAACGGCCCTGCTATATCAGTGTTCAATATCTGTAACAAGTAGCAGTGTCCTACGGTATCATAGGTTAAATACAATTATCTAGACGCTAACATGTCAATACAGAGTGCAGCTATTATAGGCACTGAGCAATTTATACAATTCTAGTCTTGTCAAGCAATGGAAGTCCAACAAGGGCAGAGGAAAGATTACATTACATAGTTCCTTGATTAAATTAGCTAAGCCTTACCAAAATTTGCTAAAACATTGTCAAATTTTGGAGGCATTTTAAATAAGCCAATATTATTTATTAATTAATTATAGTAGCATATTTCCAATATTTCACCTGGAATGTATTTTTTCTCATCTAAGAAATGTAAATTCATTTTTTTTCATCTAATATACAATACAAATGCCATCATAGTAATGGTTAGTTTCGTCACTAATCTAATTTAATCAGTAGGAAATTGAATAAGAAGTCATAGTTTAACTTTATGTCCGTTACAGTGAGACAATTTTCTTTGCTCTCTACCCCTGTACACAAAGTGTCTACATTCATTTGTCTAACAATATTATGTTAAAAATACATTTGCAAGGAAGCCTGCAACAAGTCTTTAAAGTCTCAAGCACAGAAGAATTTCCTTTGCTTAAGTGGTTCACTATCATCGTCACTGTCTGAGAAGCAAGCAGCAAACCCACTCCTGTCTCTTAGAGAGTCTCTTTGTAAACTAGTTTGTTTGTCCACAACTTTCTTTGAACGTAAGTGCCTTGTAATGCGTCTCTTCTTTTTCAGTTTATCTCTCTGGTCTTCACCCGGACTGGCCACATTCATGCTGACCATGGAACTGACTTGTTCTGTAGAATTACTAAGCACTAAAACTGAGTTCTCTGGATGTCTCAACGTCAAACCAATATTCCTTCCACTTCTAGTCCTTGATACTACTGCAGCCTCAGGATTCTCTTTTCGATCAGAATTATTGAATTCACTTGAATTTTTACTGATCTTTCTTCTCTTGTCAACCAGGTCACTATCTCCTGTATTTTCTACAACATCTGTTGTGGTTTGATTCCGGCAACGCTTTGGATACCGTGATGTGGTGCTCTGGGACTGGAATGATACATTCAGGTTCATTCTGCCTCTTGTTCTACTCCCATCTGCCTTAATATTGTCAACAGCCTCCTTAGCACTTTTCCCCGCCTTTGCATCTATGAATTTGAGCAAAGATGTGCTCTTCGTAACTTTGGGAGACTTGTCAATACTCTTGCTTATCAAATTAATCACATTCTCTGACTCTGTGCTGCAGTTGAGTGGTGACAGTTTGTGAACTCCAGTGTTCACAGACTTGTTCATACAAACAACCATTGTATTATCTTTTTCTCCGCTTTGCTGTGATTCTTTGACAAGGTTTTTACTATTTTTGCATCTTAATTTTCTAGGAGTTTTAGTAGAATGCAGTTTAGTAGACCTGATGTAGTTTGCTGTAAAGCCAGAAACATCACTCAGGTCTTCAAATTGTCCATTCAAGACTTCATTCTTTGACTTGTGTTTGTTGACATTGGTGTTCTTCTTACCGTCCGCAGTTTGATCCCCACCAGCCAGTAATTCTGGTTTCTTCAGTTTATCAGGGGATTTCTGCTCTATTTCACTATGTTTATTGCCGTTAACAAGACTATTATTAAATATTTCAAAGGAACTATTAAGTTGGCTGTTATTCAGACTCTGTTGAGCTTGCCTCAAGCTCCGCCTCAGGTTGGTCACCTTGGGTGTAGATGTCACCACTTTATTCTTCTTGTGAACAGTTGTTCTGTTATTTTTTTGCTGTTTAGATCTCTTTGCTTTACCTTGCACTGAAGTATTTTTAATGTTGAAGTCTATATCTGAGCCTAGAGTGTCAGACTTACAACTACTCATCACAGTCTGTTTTTGCTTTTGAGATGTTTCAAAGTAAACATTTTGTTGTTTATTAGCAGAACCTGAGTCATCTTCTAACAAAGAGAGCTTCCTCTTCTTTTTCTTTTTAGGCGAAGGCACCTCGGCAGCACTAGGAACACTTTTTGGTTTATTTTTGGAACACTGTGCTTGCTCATCTTGTTTTTTGACATTGTCATAGTTCATCAGGCACGGTGCCCGTTTAGTACAAATCCAATAGGATATTTCGTCCATGTTGCTCATAAAGGGAACGTCTGAAGGGAGGGCTCGGACGGCGGCGAGGGTCTGGTGAGCTGGCACCATAGCGAGACGCACTGGCGGCCCAGTGCCCGCGCCAGAAACCACAGCGGCGCCGGCCACTCGCACGCACGCGCTGCCTGCTCCGTGCTCGACGAGCCCGCACGTCCTACCAGCCCGTACTTCCCGTACTGCCGACTCGAACCAATCTCTTCCATTTTCCGCGTAAGACTCACATCCCATACACCTGAAACACCAATGTTTCTATGTTTTTAGTTTGTCCACGTAACGTACCAACTCCTCGTCCTAAAATATTAACTAATAGAATATTTACCTCTACAGCTCTTGTTCACAAAAGCCGATCACTACCATTAGCTCATTACATAGGAACTTACACTTTTTAAATATACGTATCAAGAGGAAAACCAAGCCGTACGGTACGCCGTACAACACTACACACAAGTTATAACGGACATTTCTTTTTTCTTCACTGCTGAATATGAACGTCAAAGATATTGTTGCAATATTACAGCCGTGTAAAACAAAATTTGATCGTTATGCAAGATATATTGGTACAAAAACTTAAATTTTATTTTTCATCTCACATCACCACAACAAAATAGTAAAGCAAAGCATAAGAAGAGTAAAAACGCGTTCGAATTGGAATTATACGAAAGATATCCTTCAAAACTAGGATTGTCAACGAATCGAGGAACTTCAAACTTCAAAAACGAATCATTTACTAGCACTGGATTGGCTAAAAAATAAAATAAAAATTATACATAGCGAACATACTGGTGATTGTCTATGCGCTTATTTATGGTTCAAAATTATGTTATGACAGTTAATCTTGGGTAGTGTTTACAATAAATATTTCAAGGATAAATGTGAATTATTTAGAAACTTTACTACAAAACTAGACAGTTTACGTTCTTCATTTGCTATGGAGACATATTAGTTTACACTTTTATCTAAGATTTCTACGATACGTACTTATTTTGATTTTTGTTTCTACCACAGATTATTACACATTATTAACGAAATCAATTTTGAATTTAATCTGTGGTATACATTTTGCAACTTTGTGGTTTCTCTATGGTTGTTTGCTACTTTTCGCGCCATTTATTTATTCATGATATTATTTTGACAGCTGCTGTGTGTGGTGGTATAATTACATGCTCTGTGTGTGGTGGTGTGAATAGTGTGTGAATGAGGAGCCGTAACGAAATTCTAAGAAATTTGTAGAAACATCTAGTGCAAGTGCTATCACTACAAATGATTGATATTGTATTATGCAGTAAAATCGGAAATGTGTAAAAATGAATGATGTTCAGTGTTTGATTGATCGTCAACTCGGCATTTGTAAGTGATTGAACAATACTTTGTGGGAATAGTTTAAAAACAAGACGTGTTTATATAATGTCTGGGTCATTGCAGATTGTCGTCTGAACTACGATAACATCTTGAAACGACTTATAGTAGACAGCGAAGAATCGTACTATGGGCTGCAGAATGCCAACATAGCGGCGAACTTCGACCAGGATCCGCCGATATTTGCATGCCGATTCTCGGAGGCTCCCGGTTATGAGCACATCCTTGCTCTTGCAAACGAGGATGGCAGAGTCGCTATCCAGGTACTTTTTTATCTGTTGAAGGTTATATGTTATGGAATGGTGTAAGTAAGCAAATAAAATTTTTACTAGGCATTACGGTATGGTTATGATGTGAATATATAATTGCAGGATACATCCACCGTACTCTCTGCTAGCACACTGGAAGGATTCCAATGCCACAACAATGCTGTCTTTGATCTAGCTTGGATGCCTCAGAATATGAACTTCGTGACAGTATCAGGTTAGTGATTTCTTTCCTTTATATCATTTATCACAGATGAAAACAAAAACATGGAAGTTTGAAACTTATTTTAAACATAAGAAATGAGATATGAGCCACATAATGATTGATGTTTCTTTATGTGTCTTATCTAAATTTTTAAACAGAAGTTATGCATTGCCATCACCATAGACTTTCCATTATGGGCCAGTGAGTTCATATTTTTTTATAGATACGATATAGCACTGATAATCACAAGGCTTTTTTAAAAATTTTGAAGGTGCTGAGACTTGTGTGTCACATGATATAAAGCTTTTGAATGTCCCACATAATCAAATCTAACATGTGGTGTATGAAATACATTACATAGAAGTAGTAAGTGCCATACAAGTAAACTTTAGGGCACCGTGGCTACAACTGTAGTTTGTTGTAAGAAAGCTTTTTGTTCTAATCAATTTAAAAAGTCTGGTCTGTGTAAGTGTAATATTTTTGGAGATAGAGTAGAATGCATTTAAGGACTTCCATCTCTCAGTAGGTAGGTTCTACACAGATACATTATTTTTTGATATTTAGTTTTTTCAGTTCTTTTTATTTCAAGGTTCTTATTGCTTGTTTTAAAAATCAAGTGGGCTCAGGTTGTTTTATTGAATTGGGGAACCTATTATTAATCATTTCATTTTACAAAAATTCTTGAGACTCATATAGTCTGACTTTCAATTTAATGTCCGCCTGACCGTTCAGATAGAAAGATAACTGAAAAAGACAAAACAAGTATTTTATGTAGTAAGATCAGAAATTATAACATGTTGACATCAGACATACTAAAATACCGATTGTAGTGTCAAGGTCACTTGTATCCAAATTAACAGTGAATCATTCATTATTATCATTAAGTTCATGTTATATTTTATTAGACACAATCTCGCAATAACTACACACCAAGACATAATAAAAACAAGTATTTGAAACAAAGTTAGCTATTATTTTTTTTACTATGTTAACTTTTGATTAAAGTTAAGATCTTACAGAATTGTAATTAATCTGTCAAACACCGAGCGGTCACCGGTGACCGCGACCTATTGTTCTTTTTATTGTGTCTATAAAACCGGTACTCGACGAGTTAATCTCAAATTCAGTATGTAATTGTAATAAAAAAATCTATAAATATTTATTAATTACATTTTAGGTGACCACACAGCATGTCTATGGGATGTAGGAGAAGGCGCACCTAAAAGGGTCCTAGTATTTTCTAATCACACGAGATCTGTGAAGACTGCAGTGTTCCGACCCACTGAGCCGTCAGTGTTCGCCACCGGCGCCAGGGACGGACACATACTGATCTGGGACATAAGGGCCAACAACCAACCTGCCGTCGTACTCAAACCAGACAACTGTCTCATGAACTGTCACTCTAGCTTCAACCCCAAGACGCCCGGCTCTCACGGCAAGCGACCTCGCATCGACAACCACCGCGCCATCAGTATCACAGGCCTCGTCTTCCAAGATGACATGACGCTCTTATCTTGCGGAGAGTGCGACGGTAACATCAAAGTGTGGGATCTTCGTAAGAACTATAACATTTACAAGAGGGAGCCCTTACCGAAACACTCCATACCTTATTGCGGGAGCTCGACCAAGAATGGATATACCAACTTAATAATAGACGATGCCAGAATGAGATTATACGCCAGCTGCATGGACAATGTTATTTACTGTTTCAATATATCAACTTACAATGCCATGCCGGAACAGAGATACATAGGACACGAGAACAGCACCTTCTACATCAAGACTTGTCTCAGTCCCGACAGCATGTACCTAGTCAGCGGTAGCAGCGATAAGAACGCCTACATATGGAATGTCAAATACTCGGAGCCCATCGTGAAGCTGACGGGGCACTGGGCCGAGGTAACCTGCGCCGCTTGGTGCCACAAGGGAGACATGAAACTTGTCACATGCAGCGACGACGCAAGACACAAGATCTGGAGGATCGGCAAGGAATTTCCCGATGTTGATATCGAGTTAAAGGGGCGCGCTGAAGTCGTACCGCGCACAGATATTACCAGCCTGCCACAGTGGGGCTCCTTAGATAAAACACCCAATTCTCTTAAACGTAAACTAGTGACCACCCCTGGGTCGTACAGTGCCAAACGTATGCGTTCACAGGCAATTATATCTAATAGAAAAACAAAACGATGTCTCACAGATCTCATGAATGCTTCAAAAGATGCCGAAGATATTGAAATATCGACAAAAAGACTGAAATTAGAAACTCATCCTGAAGAACTTGAACCAAAGTTGCTACCTGCAGGCATTAAACGTCATGGAGAGTGCCTCGAACAAAGTCCACCTAGAAACTGCCACATAGAAGCATCCAACGACTGGTGCTACATGCCTAAAGCCGGTGCCTCTTTCATGACACCAACCAAAAATTACGAGAACAAACAGTGCAAAATATTATCACCTAAAGGCATGAAGCCATTGTCTCCTACAACTTCACATAATTATTCATCTCCAGTGCGAGTGTCGCCAACTAAAGTGAGGGTAATAAGTTTCACGACGCCCACTAAGAACCTGCCTAACTATGTGTTAGATGGGGAGGCGCCACACTTGAGACTCATGTCTCCAGTTAAGAAAAAAGACGCTACTACGGATTGGTTGACCCGCATGGGTCGCGAAAAAAAAGGAAAATGTCCGGAAGTCATGGAGAAATTAAGTGTTACTGCACCGCTTAGTCCCAAAGAAAATATTCCACAAAGAAGGAATTCCGTATCAGAAAGAACACCAAAATCTGGTAAGAAAAATAGAACATTATTGAAATATTTTAATGTAACTGTGAAAGAGAAATAAGCAAACGTAGTATAAGTATATTGAAATGGACTGATTTGTTTGTTATGTTTAAGGAGGAGGAAGTACAAGTGATGTTACTCACAAGTTTTATAGTTGATGTGATGTATTTATCTTACATAGTTAATGATCGAGTTGTCTTGGCCCAAATTATTTATTAGATGCTAGTGATAATGAATATATGTTCCTAATGTAAATCAAAAAATAGACCAGGAATATCTCGATATGAACAAATTTTAGTGATGACAGACATAAAGCCAAATCTTTTATTTTTTGACAATATTTTATCCTCTGGTCACTAAAACAATGTTGTACCTTTGACTGCTGTAGTGTAGTAGTGCTTGTATGTGTAAGTTAGTTTGCTGGCTGTACACGAAAACGTAGTTCAACAATGTTTATTAGTGGTAAGAAACTCCATGTGTATTATTAGTTTTGCATTTACAATTTTATCGATAAGTAAATAAATCAATTTTCGAATTTAACTATTTCGTATCATTTAGAATTTTACTGGATTGCGCCCATATAACATAGAAGAAACTGGATGATGAGGGCTCTAATCATGTTTCCAATGCTTGACACTTGGACAAAGACTTCTCGAATAACAAGCATTGTGTTCGATCAACTCTTCATATCCACCGCTACCTAGCTGAAGGTTACCATATACTATGTTCGATCTAGATTCTAGAATGTTTTATAAAACATAAAACATAAATCATAAAACTGAGATGCGACGCGATGCGATTTCGTGCAACAAGGCGTCTCCCAGAGTGACCATTCCTGCGACGACCGTCAACCGTACTAAACGTATTTTAAATTAAAAACTAGGTCGTGACATGGATCGTAAAAAGAAGCGAATCAATTCGCAAATTCTTGCGATGCGTAGAAGAAGACCGCACATTTTTGCGAAGCGACGACGCACCGCAGTTTTGTGTACGATCCCTAAATTCGTTGAATCAAAGTTGATTCATGACCATACATTGCACGGCTCTGCAGTTGGACGTTGGAAACAGCATAGAATGCTACTTACTCTTTCATGGCTCTCCCAGGACTCATTTAGTCACACACTTCATTTCTTTTGATCATCTTTATAATCGTACTTACCTGTCGAATTCAATCTTTCAGAGATTTAACACTACCTAATTGATAAAACAGTTTTAATTTTAATAAAAAATTAACTGTTTATTAATTTGTCCACAATCGACGAAACTTAAATAAGTACTAATATCTTGGTGTATCGGTAGAAATTAGAATGCTTGATAGTCGTAAGGTTGGCCGTATTCCAACTCGTACATGAGGTGTGCGCGGGCGACGCGGCCGGGGTAGGTCGTGACGAGGGACGTGTTGGAGCGCGTCGTGTCGAGCGTGTCGGGGCTGTCGGCGGTGTCGGTAGTGTCGGTGGCCGTGTCGGGGGTGTCGGCCGGCGAGTTGACGTGTCGCGGGTCGAGGCCGCGGCCGCAGTGCCGGTAGAGGTCCACGAAGCACACCGGGGCGGCCGCGGGTCCCTCCACCTGTGAAGGTGCTTTAGGAGACACTTTCTCCGCTTTCGGCGCAACTTTTTTCGATTTCTTCGGCATCACAACCGCAGGCGCTAACTGAGGCTTTCTAAGTGGTTTCCGCATAGCAATCAAACAATCCATTCTTTTCTTTGTAAATCGTCATACCTATTGTAATTATGACAGATAATTTATTTGACTACTAACCAAAGACCAGTAATTACTTACCTACATCCCTACATCTATGAATAGAGCAACTCTATGGAGTTATAGTTACAGCTCAAGCCGCTCAAGGTACCAAAAGGTTCTTGTCCGGTGGTTGGTCTACTTTAGACATTTACCATGTTAATCACCCTCCAGCACCCAAATGATTGCACGATTTTTATAAAATATATAGGTACTAATATATTGACTGCCTCATTGGAGTGGTCGCAAGTGCGACTGCCGGGCAAGGCGTCTCGGGTTCGATTCGTTCGTTCGGGAATCTGGGTTATTAAATAATCGGGGTTTTAAAAAAAATCTTAGTCTGGAGCACGGAGTCTGGAATTATGCCCGGTATATGGCAATAGACTCGCCCCCTATTACATGGGACTCATAACATAAATAGTGAAAAGTGGTTGTAACATTGTACAGTGGCATTAAAGGCCGTAGATAATGTGAACCTCTGCCTACCTATATTATGTAATTTATTGCTAAAGTTTCTCTAAAGGGCAACAGCAATTTACAAAAAAATATCGGAATTGGCTCGATGTGTGTCTCACATCCTCTGGTGTTGCCATCACGCGATCCGTCTGCATTTGCTGAACTATCCCATTTTAAAAAGCTTTGTAAACGAACATATTTGCTTTTTCTGATACGAGTTTAGTTCGGTATGTTCATTCCACCATTTTATTTACAAGATTAATCAACTAACTACAATCAGAAACATGTTTAGAACTATGCCTCACGTGGAAATCGAACTCGTTACATGTTATGTTTTTATAATAACTATCGTGAGACATTACTAAATTAATTAAAAAAAAAACAATCAGCCGAACATAGTACCTCCTCCTTTTTTTGAAGTCGATAAAAAATCGCGGGTTACTCACGTGAATATACTGAGAAAAGCTCTACTAGTTTCGAACCACAGGGGGGTTCTTTCTCATGAGCGTTTACGATTCGTTACATGTTGCTCAGCAAGATGGTCACCTAACCACTGCAGTAACATCCAGTCTTAGCAGAAATGTTAAAAGTTGCGATTTATTTCAATTTCAGGTGTAAGGTAATCTTAGATCGTAAGAACAGAATATATTTTCAGTTTAATAAATAGGTAACGGACGTCACAAACACATGGGAATAATGAAACATTGGTATAAGATGTGCTTTTGCTCACTCTTTATTACGCTTGTTAATATATAAAAACATAATATAAATTATTTTGTAAAATATCACCACTGATTGTTGCAAACAAGATGGCCGCGAGGTCCGGCCAGTGCGTCCAGTACAGCGCGCGATATATCGGCGGCGGCGCCTGAACCACTCCACTGTGGCCCGCTCTACCGGACTAGTTATAAGCTATTATCCCCTAGAAAACCCATACAAAAATGTCCTTTATTCACATTATATTACTCTTATGGCACCAGCCCGGCAGAGTGGGCACGCGGCGGGGCTCAGTGGCCGGACTGTACGCCCGGCGCAGACAGGACTGTCTGGCAGCACTGGCGCAGACAGGACTGTCTGGCAGCACTGGCGCAGACAGGACTGTCTGGCAGCACTGGCGCAGACAGGACTGTCTGGCAGCACTGGCGCAGACAGGACTGTCTGGCAGCACTGGCGCAGACAGGACTGTCTGGCAGCACTGCGCAGACAGGACTGTCTGGCAGCACTGGCGCAGACAGGACTGTCTGGCAGCACTGGCGCAGACAGGACTGTCTGGCAGCACTGGCGCAGACAGGACTGTCTGGCAGCACTGGCGCGGCGGAACCCGCGCGGGCCGCAGATGATGGCTCGATAACAAAGAAAGTGTCAGTAACGAAATTATAGCAGAAATAAAAAATAACACAATTAAAAAAGAAAAGTCGTTAACAATAGAGCGGGCGCGGCGCGCCGCCGCCATACAATTTGTTATACCTACTACATCTAAGTCTGCACTTATACTACGTCACTTAACACTATGTACATACAATATCTTTATCCAAGCGATTTTTAAAAAAAGTCTTAGTACTTTTTATCATATTAATTTGAAAATTTGTTAAATGTCTTTATCGTTAAATTCACTGACTCCACTCGCACCACATTAACTTTATTATGTTTCATTTTTTTTCGTTTTCGTTTTATAACACAATACAAGTAACAGAATGTTTTAGCCCCGCTAAAAACTACTAACATAAGTATACAACTAGAGTACAACCGACATAACTTGTACGAACGACGAGCTGCGCCAGCGGGCAGCCGTCCTCATAGCAATTGACATTAAACTGGTAAAATATAACGAACGTACTCTACGGAGGAACCGCGCGCAGCCGGCCGGGGCGGCGCGACTCACTCGCAATTCGAGATCAAAAACTCGAGGCGAAGTCCCACGACAACGTACAACGTACCTCTATATAGGCGGCCGGCCGCGCCGCCCTGACTGCGCGGCCAGGGCGGCGCGGCCGCTCGGATTCAGTCCATTGAAATATCATTACAATACCATTTTATCACAATAGACAAATTAAAGTAATTTGGGCACAGCGTTACCCTAGCGATGGCCTCGTATAAACTTGTAGTTTCGTTGACATCATTAACTAAATATTCATTAAAAATCCCGCGTTCTGACAATCTAGTCAAGTATCAAACTGATGGATAAAACACAGTATTCAAAACGAGTAAATTCTTCGAAAAACAGTGTCGGCGGGCATCGCCGGCTGAGGTGCCAGTCTGCGGACACCTCCTAGTATCGTAAGTTTGTACTTTGATCATTATTAGAGTGCAATTTACAAAGGAACTGGATGTCGCAGGCCGCCCAGCCACGTGTCTACTGACTGACTGACTGACTGACTGATCGACCGACTGACTGACCCAGTGGCTCGGCGGCTCGGGCGAGCTTCAGGCTTCAGGTGGTGCAACACATGCTGTGAGAGGTCAGGCCGGAGCTATCTACTGCGCCACGACGCCCCGCGCACCGCCACTACTTGCGGGAGCGGTACTGCAGTACGGGACTTGGAAACGTTCTTATTGCGCTAACGGGGACTGATTACAGACATTTCACTAACACATACAAGTGGGGCGCGGGGCGCTCGTGGCTCGACACTGGGGCTACGGGGCGCCGGGGCCGGCGGGGGCCTCGCGGGGCCGGCGGGGCCCGGCCCGGCCGGGGCACTTGCGGGACCCAGCGCGGCCGCGGGGCCCGACCGTCCGCCCGCCAGTCCGCGCCCGCACCTGCCAGCGACACCCCACCGACAAGCTGCAACGTACAACACATTTGTTACTATAACAATTTCAATAACAAGTACAAGAAAATCACTTCTAAAACTAAATATGGGAAAAGGGGGTAAAACAAGCCATTTCCCGGCTATGACCAGCTACGAGTGAGGACGTACCGGCGGCCCCATCACCAGCAGAAGACGGACAGCTCCCCGCCGTGCGCGCCGCCCACCGCCCGCCACGACCGCACTCCGCCGCCGCCCACCTTCAGCTGGAAACAGACACGTATTCTTGTAATTCCCACATCAACATTTTTATTCAGACAGATATGGATATTATAATTTCAAAACAAGAGTCGTTCGCGGTTGGTTTGTAAATAATTGGCAGCGACAGCGAACTTAGGACATTAATTGCTAGGGGCGCCATCTGGTAAGCGCAAATATGGCTCAGGCGCTAAGTATCTCATGGCCGCCTATGGCTCATTAAACCTTTCTCCTTAAAAAAATTATCCTAAAAGGCAAAAAGCAATTCAATCATTATTTTTTTGCAATCAGGCACTACACAGATAAATGTTCAGACTATAAAGTTTTGTCAGTGGTCGACTGGTTACTTTATTGTATGTATTTACACAGTGACTGTATTGGGAGACGGAAATTACTTTGGGCAGGTCGGGCAGTTATCCTACCTGGTATATTTTGGCAGTGACAAATAAAGTTTTCTATACAAATTAGATAAAATTTCGAGCTAAGTTTAAACAAACTAACCGATACCAGATTAAGTATTTTTAATTATATCTTCCGCAAAACAGTGAAGTAGTACTGAAGCCGACTGATAGCTACTGTTTATTTTGAAATTCCATTTAACATAGGTTGGCAAAAGTTTTCAAACAACAAATCTGTACGCGAAAGCATCCTCCGCTTCCATTTAAGATCCTTTACCCTTAAAGCGAGTCGGTTGGAACGATTTCTCCACACAAGAAGTGGCATGTTTAAATCAAAACACTTCTTATTACTTGGTACGCTGCCCGGTAAAAAGTGTAATGCGTCCAGTTTTCATTCCACGTCTCGCCATATAGGGGGCGGCCATGTTTAGGCGGTCTGCGCGCGCAAGGAATGTCGTTCATTGATGCGTTCAACGAGGACACTGAATGAGCCGAGCTCGACCATTGAGTGCGTCTCGATTGGCCCTCACTGGCCCACACACCACATCCACATTATTAGCCTTACTACCATGTACTTACCTCCATCACGCGTCATGTGTACGTTACTAGGAACACTGTCAAACTAAGTTATACTAATACTGTAAGAATACAATACTTTACAGAACTGCCATTAATAGACCAGTTAACCACCACATCATCGTTTATAAGTGATATGTTCTGCATGATCACTTGATCAGACATGAATGTGATGTATTCAAAAAACTTCATCTAACTAGCACTTTGTATGCATTAATTAGACCAATGTTCATTTATAATTTGGCACGCCTTGAATCAATACGTACTACATCCCGGATGTGGTTTGCCGCGGAACACTTGACGGTCAAGAGCTATCAAATTCGCTGCCGGCACAATATTAAGATGCCTACATGCTTAGTGTGTGCAATAATTCGTCTACCTGTGGCACTTATTAATTATCTATTATTAAATTATTGTGTATCTTTGACAATGCGTCAACAAATCTTATTGCTTTGTTAGGCTACGTCGACTTGCCTTTTATTTAGTGCACACGTGCAATGTGGCCGCCTGATATGCAATCAGATATCTACTGGATATAATATACAAATATAATATGCCATATACTTAAGAGTAATTTTGATGGCTGATGTGCAAAATATTCTCTTGTTATTGTATTCATAATTATTATATAAGGGTGTCGGCGCTCAATGAACACATGATCCCAGCCGACATCTGCCCGGTTTCTGTGAGCTAGTGAAGTACAGCACAGATGCAAGTGCCCGCATGCTCGGGGTCAACAACCTACCGCCCGATAACAGCTTGATAACGTATCACCAAAGGTGCAACCAGCTCATGTCCATAATAAAGCATATGTTTTATACTATTTCATAACGAAAATACATCGAAGGAAATAAATCAGACTAGAATACAAGGACACAATATAATAATGATTTTATCTTGGTGTACAGCCATTCCGAAATCGGTCAATAATAAAACAATAAATTCCGTGTAAAATATCTGATAATGTGTTAAACTTATGACGAAAGATGTCCCGACGAGGAATCAATTATATCAGCAATGCAAATCAATAGCTTCTGTTAGCCTTGAGAGAACGACGCCTGATCGATACGTCATGAATTTGAGTAACAAAAATAAATCATCTTTCTCACAGGGGAACCAATTTAGCTCAGAAATTGATGATGCACAATATATCTGATGATGTCTCTGCAAGTGTGATTATAACTTGCTATAGAGAAGTAATCATACAAGTTATATCATAGTTGAGAATAAAATGAGAGCTTTTTTTAAACATTGATAGGTTGTATAGAAAACACATGAAATGATCGTTAAATTGGCGAGGGTGAGGGAGGCTTCCACATCGGTCGCGAGTGGCGAGCGTGGGAACAGTGCAGTTCCGAGCTGAGCTCCACATGTGCGATCATTATGCGGCGCCATGTGCTGCCAATCACTACGCTGGCGTCTACCTATACCGTCTACTCGAACAAAGATGAAGCTGCTCTTGTCATCAGATTATTTGATCATGTCATTTCATTAGCTTTTACCTTATTCTTATAACATTTGTTGCAGTACGAAGTATTTATAAAGTACATAGACTAACGGCATTCATTGTAATCAAGTTCACAGGTAAACGATTTAAAGTTACCTCATTACTCTCACTTAGAGAATGACGTTATTTTATTTCCTCTTAGCGAGTCTCGGATTTATTAAATAACTGTAGAGCAAGATTCAAGCTCAAGAGATCTTGTTTACAGTGCAGAAATTTATTTACAGCGTTAGCGGCACTATTATTTATAATAAAATTTATTCAAGCTAAACTTTCTTTTACATTTGTTTGAACACGATAATCTGGACTAATTCCTCGTTAAAGGTTTTTAAGAACAACACGGCTGAAGTCTTGTGTAATGTAAAGATTGTGAGGCTTTCTTTCACCTTCGAATTGAACGGATTCTTGCAAAAAAAGTTCGGCCATGATTTTGTGAAACTCTTGTTTCTACGCTCATTTCTAACTCACGCCAAGCCAGAACGAGACGTGTGCTACAAATACAAATCAAAACAAACTCTAGCAGTCCGCGATCCAGTTATAGATTTAAAATTATTCATAGCTTTATTCAAATAAGCGGGCGGACTCGCCATACGGGCCAGTGGAGCCGGCCGACAGGCTCCATCTGCAGGCGTCCACTAATCTCCGCACAATCATGATAAAGATAAAAAAACTATTGCCACTACTGTTAACTGTTCTCTAGTTTCCCGAGCAGAACTAACCATGGCCGGCGAGCTGTAACTGCTGTGACTAAATAATAACTATCTGCAATCGACTTCGTGTCTCACATTTGCGTTCGAAATTAGTCATGGTGAAGTTTTGGAGAAGATTACCTTACAGCTTTCGTGCTCCTGGCTACTTATGGGAATCACGAGTAGGTACCTATTTGCTAAATATTTGATCGTTAAAAGTCGTCAAAGTAGTACCAGAGTCATTGCCTAAGTACCTGCTGCATTTTGTCGAAATCGAGTGCGGGACGATGACGGCGCGGCGGCGGCAGTGGCAGGCGCCGGCGACGCGGCGACAGCGGCGCGCGCCCTCCGCTCGCTCCCCCACTCGCGCACGCGCACCCGCCGGCACCCCCACGCCTTGGCTTGAGTGCTTCCAATGGGGGAGAAGTTCTGAACCGCACCGGTGTCTCCACCTGCAACACCAAGTTCTTCCTTCAAATCCATTCATATCCATTAGTTCAAAACCAACAACGAAAACATCGCCCTGGTTACATAAAGGCAAAACTGCGACAAATTAGTAGCGCACGCCACACTTGTAATGTCTCTAATGCAGATGTAATGTTAGTATGGAGTACCTTGGTGTCGTCGTCGTCAGAAGATGCTGGCCGGGGCGTGTGCTCGTCGTTGTCGGGGTCTAAGTAGGGCTGTGCTGGCCACTTGCGTTTCTCGGGGGCGGCGGGTGGCGGAGAGGAAGCGCCGCGACGCCGCGATTCTGCGGCGCCCGTGCCAGCACTCGGGCCCTCAGCGCCCGCGCCGGCGCCAGTGGCGCCCGCGCCGCGCAGTGCGCCATTGATCACCTGCACGTCGCACCCACAAGTCACACACCGCTCTTCAACCTTATGACTATGCATCACATTCCTATGGTGCTAGATGTCGACCGAACTAAATTTCTCTACCTATCTTTATATAATTTACCTACAATTTGATTGTATTCTATTGATTTGTACATATATCTACTATGCGATATTAAAACTTACTACCAGAACTCTCTTAATCTCTTGTTTGTCGATATATGAGACACAATAGAAAACATATTGTGTCTCGCGTACATCGGCGTTCCGACAGACAAGAGGTTAATATAAATAATCAGTTTATTAAGGAGTTTAGAGGTGGCTATTACCTGATTGGCAATGTTAAAGTGGACCTAACAATATCCATAGCTATAACAATGAGAAAAGAAGATAATAAATAAAAGTAAATATTATATTACAGATTAATCAAACCGACCAAATCTTATAGTCATGATTTATTCAAATTGTGCAAGTTTGTACAGTGCATGCTTTATCAAAGCACATACACCATCTACCATAATGAAAAGCAGACGCCTGAATGATAACATATCCAAAAGGAGCAAGTATTGAAGAAAGAGTACAAGAGCTAAAGTCTCATCTGAAAAGTACGCGGCGCTGTTGAATATTTCAGCGTGTAATTAGAAACGCGTTGAGAAGTCGCGCCGAGTACTGTTGGCGACGGACGGACCTACGAGGCACGGAGGAAAGTTCCGCGGCGCAGTCGGCCGGCCGCTCGTTTATTATGGATAGGTTTCGGTGAAAAAACCGCGTCGCTTTTGTGAGGGCCGAGCAATGACTGCCACTACTAGCGGGACGAGAAATGAACCGCGGTTATGGGTACATCTAGCGGTCGATAGTTCCGGTGTTGGGCTCAACGTTGCATCTGAATGTTCAGATTTAAGGCTTTCTAATACTTTTTCTCTGAAAAATTTTCTAGATTGCCATAAAGTTGTTCATATTAAAAATTTATAAAGAAGAAAACTATTTTCAAAGTCCCAAGCTATACCTACACAAGTTAAAACTTTTATAAATGCAGATGTTTAGTTAGAGATATTCAACGTATTAAGTCTAAAATGACTTCCCGTACCTTTTTGATCGAGGAATTAACACTTTCATTTAACATTGCAAATACATTGTGCAGGTACATCTTTAGACCGTTCGAACATCGAGTAGAACTGTACAATGATCCAAACAAGGGAGAGCCGGCTCCAAGCTGCGAGGCATGATGCGCCCGCTGTGCGCCGTGCGCGGTGCGCTCCGCTCGTCTCACGTTAATAAGCCTCTCCTTTGCACGGCCATGCTGAATACTTCGCGAGAGCAAACAATGCTGGAAAGGCTTTACGCATTTAATATTATCACACGACGTTTTTCTTTCTTTAGAAAGCAATTTCCGTTTCCTTTTTGCAATTAAAAAAGTACAGAGACAAAAGAATTTCTAATTTCCAACCAAGCGCAAGATAAACAAATGTTATGCAGGCGGCAGACAGGAAAAAATGAATAAAAACTCACGGATTGTTTTGTCTTGTTACTGAAAAAGAAAGAAGCGAGCTAGTGTCAACTGAAGACGCGAAGCGTGTGCAGCACGACAGCCGACAGCCCGCTACTGAACAATGGCAGCCGGCTCGCATATCGATCGACGACTTCGTGTTCGCGCTCCAGCTTAACGTAATAATTGAAAATAATTGTATTGACTTTATTACCGAATTTGTTTACAAACCACTGGAGCGGTTATTCTGGCACGCGATCTAATTAGAAGCTTGTCGCATCACAGCTATTTAATTGGCCTCGCACACCAAATGTGACTATAATAGGTTATTGAAATAGTGCAGCTCGTCTGTGCTGCCTCGAGTGAGCTTACACACAATGCCGTGAGCGACGTTTGGGCGGTCGAGAGCTGCAACTAATGGACAGCCGCAGCTCGTATACAAATGCGATGCAAAACTTAGCGGGAGACAAGTTGATGGTTCCATTATTCTGCAGAGCAGATAAACGGCCACTGAGTGTAGCTATAGGAAGAGGGACTCTTCTGCAACAATAGAAGACGACAGCCACCCTCAGAACGCGCCTACATTGGCTACTTAGCGTGCGCCACTCATTGCCATCGTTTAGTATTTCCAGTTTCCAGTGCACGTTACCTTACGTACGCTAATGTACCTATAACCTAGCTATTAATTTCCTCATAGACTTAATTAACGGCAAAAAATAGAGTAATGTAGTTCCACAATGCAAGTGAATTACATCATTTATAAGTAGGTATAGAAAAAGTGCAGTAAAACATTCAAATTAGTAGAACGTATGACGCTAGCTGGGTAGATGAGGTCGGAAGTTTTTTTGCTCGCACCAATTTTCGCTCGCCCCGCTCGCCTCGCTGGAGGGCGTTCACCTGCTCTCCTAACTTTTTAATCTCTTCACGTCATATAACTGCATCGCTCCTGTGTTTCCGTCGCGGAATTATCCGCTAACATCATCAACACGCGATGCAGTCTCAAGTGACGCACACAACAACATCTATTTTACGACTGATCTGTTGCAAACTGTATCACTGTGTTCGCACTATTCTTATTTAATTGAAATGAATTTACCTAAGTAAATAGAATTTCAGTATAGTTTTAGACTAATTACTGAATTTATTGTATTAGGTGTGCCTGTGATGATAAATGTAATGTTTAAATATTAATAAATAAATAAATAATTATTAAGAGCGTAGGGTCATATGTGGAGAACATATAAAGAAGGTTTATATGTTCTGTGATGTAGAGGAAGGTAGATCAAAACAGTCCTAAGGAAGCAGTATTTGGATCCACGTTCGAAAATATTGAGGTATACCGTAGTCATACACTTTAAGCGCCTGGTAAATAGGCCCCGTGATGGCCACTATGAGATGCGGCGGGGATATAAGGGAGGTGAGGTGGGCAGTGCGGGGCGGAGGAGACGTTGTCTACGGGTGTAATTTAGTTGCGGCGTGTCGTTGCGAATTAATGCGGCATGCGAAGTGTCCGCCACTGTGAGATATGGCTCCAGGACCTCGTCTGTGTTGCGCAACCGACCGCCTTTTATAGCTGACCAATTACAAAACAAGATAATAATCAACAAAGCCAAAAATTTGATAGAACAATATATATTGCTAACAAAATGTATCAAGTATGGTGCCATGTTCAGAGTAAGATACAAATAAAGAGCCCATCAAGTAGATGCGCGCTTTAGCGAGCAGTGAGCAACAATAGGCCACAATGAGGACTATCAGCAAAAAATTCGCCGCTGAGCGCTGCCGACCAATTACACCATGAACTGTTCTGTAGCGATTGTCTGTGCATCTAACTACATCTCACAATAGTATTCGCTGTTTCTTTGCGCATACTGCGAAGCAAGTTGTGCATGCAGTTTGTTGAAAAAGTTGTGAATCAGTGAGAATGAAGAAAGGATAGATGTACTTATCTTTGTAAGAGAGAAATTATTCGTTGGATATTAACAATTCAACTTATGCGGGCTTTTTTCCATACTTTTATGTTTGTATACCTACCTACTTGTTCTATTCGAAACATTAAAATATTTTTGTTCTTAATTCGTCGTGTGTAACAACGGACAATCTTGAAGTAGCTTTCCGCAGCCATGCTAAAATATTTCCTAACAGTTTTCCAAGAGAGGATTTAAACACAGCTACGTGTGTAGCTCACGCGTGTGTGGCGCGTGTCGTGTTTGCAAGGTCCTCGAAGATCTCGTCTGGTGCGGCAGAAGGTCGAAATTGAGATTAATTCCGAGCTAGATTACATTTATAGGGTGTGCGTGAGACCTACATCTGAGGACAATTATTAAATCGTTGCGAACTAATTGAAATGTATTCAGCATAGTCTGCAGCTCCTGTTTGTTTTGTTAGATCACCAGTTCACACGGTTCGTGCAGAATCATTCATATTGCGAAATGTTTGCAGCAGTACTTTCGTGTCTACATTAACAGAAATATAATCAGGTATCGGTCGACATAATAACAAAAATGATTGGTTTTAACAATTGGAACTAGTTGCGTGGACTATGATTCTAGTAGTAGTGACAAGATTACAGAACATTGTAACAATAGAGCATGCGAGGTAGTAGCTGATGGTGGAATACCTCTAGTTCCTCTTCTGAGGAGTGGTGGTCGTACAGGTGGTCGGGCTCGGGCTCCGGCAGCAGTCGCGGCGGCGTCGGGGCGCACGCGCACGCCTCGCCACCCATACCTGCAACCAAAACTATAGTTACATACCAGCTCAGTAGATACAACTCTTACAATAAATAAAAACACCTGATGATTGTCCCTGGTACAAAGTGAAGAAGAAATATACACAAGAAGACCCATTTAAGTTAAGCTCAAATGATTCAGATTTCCCGTGAGCTGACATGGATGTAATTTTATTATTTTAACGGTTTATAAGAGCCTAGTGCTGTTGTTAAAGGAACTCGAATATTTTTATACTAACATCACGTCCGGCCGCCATTTGTACGTAAATATATTTCCAAAGTAACGGGTTATGAGATTTTGTGAATTCCAAATCCGTACCACGCCACATAAAATAAACAAAAAAAAACTTAAATAGTGCATTATTAGCGAGAAACCAAACCCGGTGCTTGTCGTTGATAGGGTCTCCCCAGTCCTCTCAGAACTACCGCTAACTGCTCCCAGTACCACTGGTAGATTTAAAGTTTTTAAGTCAAGTTCTATAATAAGACGGATTTTAATAAACCCACTTATTTATTTAGTTTAAAAGAGAAGACTATATAAATAAGTTTGTGGTCTAATATCTATGTATTAGAAAACGAGTCGGTACAGACAGAATTTGGAGTCTTGGGTCAGGCAGTAATACTGTTGGATAATTATTATTTGTCAGTACTCAGTAGAGCCGACGGGCAGACGGTCGGCGTATTGCGTATAGTAACAGGTTCGCCCTAAGCGGAAGTGCAGAGATGTGAGCAGTGAGAAACTACGTACAGCCTTAATCTTTAAGAGGGGTCAACGAACTTATAATTACGATTAACTTTAGAAAATAATCATATTTTATACTGCTTTGCCGAGTTGTTGCGTTAGTCGGTGGCCATAGTGGACGGGTCGAGGGAATTAAAGGTTTTTGGAAATGTAAATACAAGATTTACCATATTTGTAGTACCTATCTAGATAATAGCGAATGTCGGCAGTGGGATGATTACAAGCTACATAACGAGGAGCGAGCGGAAGCTGGAGGCTCGAGACACAGGACGGAGGCAGACAGGACAGTAGGGGTGAGGAGAGGGAAGGAGGGGCACGGAGATGTTCTTGAACTTGCGACGAGCAGGCCGCGCGACGCCTTGCACAAGCAGAGATAATGCAACCGGCTTGTTATTTAATACTTACATACATACTAATCTCATATTTTGTATATGGACAATTAATTTTACGCAGTTTCAACTGAAGCAGTAGCTATTTACTGCACTGTCGTAGGTACTTGAATCCAGGTATGAATAATATCATACCTGGCATGGTGTAGAAAGAAAAGAAGTATATGAACAAAGCTGTGTAATTCAGTGCTTCAGTGAAGACAGTACTTTAAATACAAATAATATCCATTTAAGGAACGACTATTAACAAAGACGAAAGTTTTGTTAAAAAACTTAAAATAATAGTAACGAACGGTGTCAACTGTGTATTGTGTAAAGCATGGGTTCGTATACAATACAAATAAAAAAATAATATAGTTAGTCTACCCAAGGCCAGGTCTTTGATTCGCAGCTGTCGTAGTATGAAGGTGTAAGTTTTTGCTTGCTTTATACTTGGACCCTTCATTGTAAGTACCTACAGTGTTGTATTGTCCTGCCACAGGATTCTTGCCCTAAAGTTCGCAAAGCCGGAAGAAACACGCGGATGAGGATCCGATAAGAATGGGTGTTTGATCCTCTCAGTTAACCTCCAACTAAGATAAATGTGTTTGTTAAGGGCACATTCATCACTCTACTTGATTAGGGTTCGATGGAGACGCGACCTTCCGGCCTCCGGTGGGGGGCGCCGGGCGAAACCTCACTGTATCGCAGCTACGGGAACTAATTGGCTTGCACGAGCTCGATTGAATAATATAAATATTTCGCCTTCAATATGAATTGGTCCAAAATGATGTGTTCTAGGTGCAAATTGAAAGCATAACCTAACAAATATTACGTGGGCAAGTGGTTTAATACAATCTCGATGTCACCTTAAACGATAGAGAGTCCACTTTGCGTAATATTTTAATAATTCCGTACCCACAACAGAGAAGATATACAAAATATCATCCTTTACTAAATATTATCGTCTAAACGCTTACAATCCGTAAAAAGAGATGTAGATTAAATCATAACATGAACAAAACAATACGCCATAATGTTATGCGGATTTTTTTGTTGATGCCGTTCCAACAAAGAGTAAGAGGCAACAATAGTAACGTAGGCAGTTAGCCTTATTAACAACAGGTTTGACTTGTTAAAAAACATGTCGGTTTGGATCAAGTGGTGTGGCGCTCATGTGACTCGCTGGTTCACCTTCAATAAACAATTTAGGGGCTTTCTATTCATTCGTACTCTGATTTTAACAAAGGGGACTTACGTTGAACCCAGACTATTTACAAACTGCTGGCTTAAAACTTTGATGCACATATAGTGCAGAAAACTTCAGCAAAAGAATAATTCTAAATATATCTAGTCATTCAAAATAAATAAAATATCTACGCATGTCGAAGTTTAAACAAAATTATGTATTCAATATTATACGACAAACATAAGAACCAGTCGAGCGACTATCTAAAAGTCAGTAAACAAACACACCTAGGACCGGTGGCAGCAATATATTGAGACATTCCAAAACGTGTTAGTACTAAAATATCGAGAGACAGTAAATGTTCGTCAATTTGTGGGAATAATATTGTCACTTAGCACAGTAACAGGTTTTATTCTGAAAAATAGGTATATGTAAAGATACGGATCATTACAAGCCAGAACGTGGGGAATGGGAACATGCAAGCACCGACCAAGTTTAAAAATAACGATAAAAATCGTTACAAAGGGATTATTTTCATCGGTGGGGTAGAAGTAATTAAAATAGACGGCGGAATAAGTTCTAATTTCGCTGGCGACTGTCCCCGCCCCGGGGGTACTCGTAGGCAATCACATACGTGCAGGCTTCATGTCTCACGACACGACTCTTTTTAGCCAAAGTTATATTTACCTACATTTTTTTCTTTACTTTAATTAAGGGATGTATCACAAATGACAATGTCACCCTCATGAGGATGAGCTTAACAACATGATTTACATTTATTATAATGTTTTCGACTTACTCACGTAACTGTTTGACGAGGAACTCGACTAGTTTCAAGCCATGCTAGAGGCTCATATTTATGAGCAGCATTCCGCGACACGCGACGCGGCGACTGTCGCGCTGCTACTATATAACTAAACTAGTCGAGTTCCTTGTCAAACAGTTACCTGAGTAAGCTGAAAACATAATAATTAATTTAGTATGTCTCACGAAAGTTATAATATAAACATGATCACTAAGATTGCCATTGTGTCCAATGTTCAGTGCGACTCTTTCAAGCTCATCCCTGACACATCATGCTACGATATGCATCTTCAATATCACGACACTCAGTACAATTTGGGGAAGCAACTTTACCCATCAAAAAATGCAATGCTGTTCAAAGGAATGTCCTGAACGAAGTCTGAATGATGACAATCTGTTCTCTGCTCATCTCACCATGATCAACCCAGGGACCAAATACCATTTGCTAATGTCCTCTCATCAAAGTATTCTGTCCAGGCTTTAAAACATTGGGATTTGATCTGTAAAATAATATTATGCAATGGTGTTGAATTTCAGACTATAGGCACAGTTCTACTTAGATACATGTCATATGGAGAAAGAGGACGGAGAGTTAAAACTACATACCTACATGAACTTAAATTTACAATGTCCAGTACTCGCAGACATCGAGAGAGGTATTGTGAATCAATCAAAGCGGCCAGTAGCACCGGTTCGATGCAAACTGAAAGCCACGTCGCGCTATCGACGTCCGTGCTTGTAGAAGCATACAAAGTGGCGATAAGGTCCGCCTCAACAGAGGGCAACAACATACGTGTGCCACAATACTGTTCCGCCTGTGAATAATTGAAAGGGCTCAGCCCTGCCCCGACGCACCGATCTCGCTCTCCACTTATCTTACATCTCCAAACATCAATCGTATCTATCAAACAAGAATAGGGTTCAAAGACGACGCGATACGGTTCAAAGTCGGATGTGAAGTAATGAGACACATGCAGAGTTATCGCGGTCGGCCAGATCAAGATTCAATGCGCCGTTGACGCGGGCAAGTCACGAAACGTCAAACTGTTGTGGTGTGTCCATACATCGGCGTGGCCCAAGACTTTGTTTATTAAGTCCCGCAGTGCCTGGGCACAGATCTGCATTCTACTCGCACTCGTCTAGTACTTGGTAGTTACCTTACTAAGCAAGTACGCACACTATCCGAACTGATTGCTTTTGTCATTAAGATTGACCCTACTATCTTTTTATAATAAACGTTATCTAGTATTCTCATCAAAGCACTAGTGAAAGAGGTAGAGTTACAAATTTAATTTTGCGTTACTACGCCGCGTCCATCGTAAGCAATAACTTCCAACAATTGGCTTTTCGGACCAGTTTCATAGCGACTGCTTGTGCTGTACTGTAACTTGACTAAGTTACCTGTCTTCGACTAATGTAAATAATGTTTTATTTTAATTGAAGAAAAATAATGCCTCTAAGAAGACACAACATTTTGAGTAGTTCAATAGGAGACACACCTCTAAAATTAATAATCTACGATGTCTAATGAGAGTAACAATAAAAATAAAGTGAGCTTGAACCCACAGAGTGGTCAATGTCAATGTGAAACAGTTATTTCGGCCTTGTTAGCGTTCACGTGCTGCTTCTGCCTCCTAACTCGAATATATTCGTTAAATATCTTTTAGCATTCAACTATTTTTATTCTTTATATTTGTCATGAAAGTTGAATATTAAACAATAGTATTTAAACCTTGTTTATACTGTCAAACGATTAGTGCACGATAATATTGATAGTCCCGTTACATGTATCTCACTCTTAGCAATTTCAAATGTAGTCCATATTGAGAAAGATTATAAAACTTATTTCGTAAACTAATCTAAGATTTATACTAATAAATCAAAATACCGAGGTTTTTGGAGTTATTTGCAATTAGCTGATCAATTTCTAAACAGAAACCTGTGTAATGTCAAACAGATCGTAACAAGTACACAAATCAGTCAGAGAATGGTCACCATTGGGATGCAAATGCGTGTCGATCGTGTCTCGGCATGACACAGCGAGCGTGCGCGTGGGCAGCGCAGCGCTGCGCATACACCGACATCGACAACTCGGTAGTTTGGTACCAGCGAGAGGCGAGACGCTAATAAACATCGTTTCGTATTGTTTAGATGCCCGGTTTGGAACAAACTGACGACACACGTTCAATAGTCGCCATGTTTATTTTTACAAAACTTAGGGCCAGACGACGCTACTTTTAGCATCCGCGTTCAGTGATTTGGCGACTGCATCGATAATGTATTGGCTTGGCGACATACTACATTCGCTTCATTATTGATTGTGATCATTGGATCTACATAGGTATCATAAACTTCCAAGCAGTTATACATATGCTCAAATGACAGGATTCCTACAAATCTATCAAAGAGAAAATTATTCTGAACCATCTGGAAGTAGACTCCCACAAAGAGTTGCAATTGCAACAATCTTGGCAAGAAATCCAAATGTCGCCTGTGTAGGTATAAATTTACCGTACAAGTATATTAGTAATAATACATTATAGGTAATATAAATTCATAAATATCCGTATTGTAAGTATTATGTTACGATTACAACATGCGGCAATATGCAACATCAGATAGACATTGGACATTAATTAGGTATATGCTACACTTTATGGCAGAAAAAGGCCTATAAGCTACAGTAGGAGAACCTTGGAAGATGATAAGTTAGAATCCATCCTGTAACAATTTCGACAGGAGCTCGAGTTCACTGGAGGGAAGAAGTAAGCGACATACGAATACATAGGAAAGAACATAACATTCACAAAGCTAGCCGGTCAAGTTCAAGGCGCTCAGCATAAAAACAATATACATACTTACGTCGACCATTAGCAAACAAAATGGCGACGATTAATCATCACCGATTACTGATGTATTAGAAATGTAAATTTAAAGGTCAAAGAGATTAAATATGTGGTTACATAATGTTTATAATGGGAATTTAAATGTGACCTGTGTTTGTAAATACACTGCGCTGTAGTCTGGACTAGTAATGTGAGTGGATAGTTGGACATAGGGATTTTTTATCTATCAGCATTCTGCAAACGAGAAACTTCCACTTGAGGGTCGCTATGGAACGTGTTCATATCCGGACTGAGTGAAAACTGTCACAATTTACCAGAACATTCAGACTTGTTGGCAATGCAATTACAACATACATACATAACTTCACGCCTGTCTCCCGTGGGGGTAGGCAAAGACTATGGAACGCCAATTACTACGATTCCTATATACCTCTTTGCAATTACAAATCTCTTAAAAAGAGACAAATCTTAGCACGAATACAATTTTAATATTTTTCTGATAATTAGGAATTACGATTCAAGTAATCGTTTTTTTTTTTGTTTTAAAATAGTCACATCGTACAGCACTTTAGGCTCTTGCTTAATAATTGTGGTATGATATAGTACACTAAGTCACAATACTGGCTGAACATTATGATTAACTGGCATTGGTGTTCTTTTACTTTAACGTCAGCAGATCATTAACTAGGCGATATTACACGACCTCCTCATTTGTTATCCTGTCGCTGTTTCGACAAGTAAACAATTAAAATAATAAATACTAATGAATGTTTCTTTCTATTCCACCTGCCGTCAATAGTATGAATGTTGAAATTGCGCCAATATGAGCCATTTTGTAGTTGGCATAATGAGCGCGACGTGGCATTATTGTGGCCATAACGTCCAGTATGGTAATGTGGTGGGACCACAATGCGTACGTGAGCCGCATGCGCCGCCGACCACGTCTTTGTGCTGCTAGCCAAACACCACACCAGAACGTAATCTATTTGATAATGTCCAACTGACTATACTAATAACTACTGATTCAGGAACGGTAAAGAACATCACACGGTAGATTATGAGGAAATGGTCGTTGAAGATAGAAGCGATCGATATAGCTACCCAATCATCACGTAAGTTATACAGAAAAGGAATATTCGATTTGTATCTATCAAAGGAGTTTTGTGCAGCGTCGCTATTGTAAAGGACTCCCTGGTAGACACGAAGCCACATGTTGCAACATCTATAAGTTATACATGTAAAAGTAAACTGAAAAAAGGTTGTGTGGCAAGGAACAGTTCGCCATTCGTTGGAGCACCATTAGTTGGTTGGACTTAAGAATATATTATTTAGTAGGTAACCTAACTAGGTGATAGTCAGCACAATATTGCGTATTGGCTGCTTTCTTTCAATCAAGCTTTTATTTAGTTTGTATAACAAGCTATCTTTAAACAACATTTGGTGAAGACAAACAGGCAACCACATTAAGGTAGGTATAACTTTGAGGTTTGGGCCAAGCTTTGGAAAATCGCCAACAACTTCGCACCGAACAAGCCGGTGACATCTCATTTGTCTTTTACTACAAACTGCAATACATTAACGAATGTCTCTATTTTATCGATCTGTAATGTCAGCTTCTTATAGGTCGTGTATATTTTTGTTATCTTAATAGACTTCTATATAGATCTATGTAAGTCCACTGTTTTCGTTTGTACAAGTAATTAAAGTAAATTATTTAAAATGCATTTAGATAAGTCTCCCGTTTATCATTGCTTGCTTGTTTGTTCTGCTCTGTTCTCGTATACAGGGTTAGTTGCGTGTTTGTTTTGACTTATAGTACTACTGCACATATGTATAGTAGATATTAGAAAGTGTTTACTTATTAGCATTTGCTGGCAAATGGGAAAGATGTTGGAACATGTTACTGTAAAAGGGTACTTGTTTGCTCACAACATCTAAATAATAAAGCTGTAGTTGTGTGTGTGTATGTACACGTACTGTAGCAGGTCGCTCGGTAAAACCGCGCTGTTTGCTCACCCACTCAACGTGAGAGCGGCGTGAACGTGCGCTGCCCGCCCAGCTAGCACTACAAACGAGTTCCAAGTTTAGATGTTCAGTGAAGTTCCCGCAAATTGTTTCGATAACATCCGCTGATTATTCAAGAGAAACCAAGCAGTTGATCGTGTGTTACTGCTATCACTGCTTCACCTGGTAGTGTTGTATTTGTATTGTAGGGGCATCCTCTTGGTTATGGTTACGAACGCCTTTGTGGGAATATAATAAGTGTGTGCGTCGGTAGACTGGTGGGCGCATGTATAATTACGGTATAAAGTTGAACACTCACCTTGGCCGCAGCCCGAGCAAGGCCAAGGTCGTTAAAGCGTGCCGCTCCCCCCTCTCTGCCTCCTCCTCCCCCACACTTCCCCCCCACTCCTCGGTTTGCTCCTCGAGCAGTTGCACGCGCACGCGATTTTTTTTGCAGAGTGATGTAATCTGTAATTCGGCGCGAGCGCAACATGGCCGACCGTCACGCTCATATAAACATTTCTTAAAGCAATGTTTTAAACATTCCGAATTCTGTTATTTATACACAAACCGTAGTTTATATATAGTCAGCGCTATCTACACTTATTGACTTAAGATGTAATGTGTAAGTAACCCAGATCCACAAACTCTGCCCAATGAAAGAATGTTGCCACGTATCTGTTCCATGGCTCCGTCTGAGCACGGAGTTAGAGAGTTACACCTGAATTAACGACAGGCGGATGCCGAGCGTGGTCTGCTTAATGATACGCGTGACGTGCGAGCTGCCGCTGCCGACTGTGGACGAGCTCTCAAAACAACTTGCAACAACACAGCCACCAAATAAATCGGCAATGCCTTAGCCTTGCGAACACTGTTTATTTTCAATTTAAATAAGCTTCTACAACTAATTGAACAGATGTGTATAGAAATTGGACAATAAATTCAGAGATTCATTGATTCCTTCATTCGAAGTGTGAATGAAAATATTCTTACCTTACCTCACTATTCTCGCTACACTGTATCGGTTGATTGTAACTACGACTGCTAAGCTCTAAGCAATTATTTGTAGGGTAAAGTGTAGAGAGGTTTGTTTGTTGCTAGATAGGCAATATAATGCTCAAGCCATTAGCTGATCGGTCGTGTGCAGTGGAGTCGGTGCGAAGCGGCGCGGCGGCGTAGACCGCAAGGCGCGGTGCGACCGCAAGTCGTTCAGTGTGCGTTACACACGCGATTACATCCGAACACCTTCATTCAAAGATGAGATACGAAGACCAGCTTTCTAAGACTTAAACCTTATGATAGGTATGTTAATGTTTGATGGCCCTTCCATAATTAAGTTGAAAACAAGAGTACCGCGAATTGTGGTGGTGGTGGTGGTGGTGTTAACGGCTAATGTAACACTACAGACTCCCTAATTTCAGTTACTACCACTTTTGAATTAGATGATAGGACTATCCTACTATCCGACTACCAGATTCAGCTAGTGCAGAGAGTGAACCAATTCAACTATACTAGAATTGGAGCAGAGTTGATCACCTTGCAATACAAGCCTTCTTTCCTTTATAAGAATTTAGCTGTCTGTCGTCTATCGGACTCCAGAACTTGTAACTGTTTCAGAAAATAATAATTTGTATAGGTGGTAAGTGGCAGCCCTAGTTATTTCCGTATGAATGGCGGCCGGGCGTACCTCTGTCGTCTTCCTGCACGGCTTGCCAAACTACAGCACAGGTTCGCATTAGGAGAGTCACCGGTACTATATTCGGCCGGAGCTAGAAAGTAACCTGCTCACTGATTACTACTTTGAAAGTTATCATCGTAAGCTGTGGTACGCTTGTATAACATAACACTAAGCTTGTCTCTTCTGTTTTAGCTCTGCCATTTCGTGGGCCTGATTCTAATAATTCGATAAATTGGTTCTCCCGGTCCTCTAAAATATCCTACACTCTAACATATAGTTCGCATATACGTTTGCATCGTTGGACACATACCAAGCGACCAGTTACAGTTAAAAGTAAAATCGGCTCCCTTACGTACCGTATATTTCTACCGAATGATTGATTGCTACAAAACCCCCTTCTGTTCATACAGATCAGTCCACTTCACTCAGTTTCAATCACATTTCCACCAACCCAGTAGAGCGGTATTCTGATAAAAATGCACGTCAGAAGTCTTCTACTACTATATCCACTAGAGGACATACCAGTAATCAGTACCGCGGGGGGCAACCGGAGCCCTAGCCACGTCCTCAATATAATTATGATGTTTATTTTATTTAAAGGACTTAAGTATATTCAGTGCCAATAAATAGTTTATTATGTACTTCTAACACGTCTGTAAAATACTAGTAATAGATCGACTGTTGTTCCGAATGCAGGCCGCATTACTTTGATTAGTATGGCAAGGCATACCGATAGTTTTAGCCAACGATTATGACGAATTCAAATTGATGTAAATAAATGGATGATGGTGCGTTTATATATAAATCAAATAGGATTGTTGTGTTGGCTCGGCGCTGCCGGCTGCCGGCTGCCATCGTACTATGTGTAGTACGCAAGTAGGTGGGGGCGGCGCATGCGTACGCGGCGCGGTTACGGAGTGCGTGGGCGCACCTTACACAACTACACGTACAGACATAGGCCACACTGTTACAGGGACCCATACAAAGTGATCCCCATGGTGAGCACTTTGTATATCCGTGTTTTACTTTAAATGTGATGATATTTATTTCCTTTTTAGTTTGTTTCCCGTTTCACATGGCCCTAGTGACAAATGTCCTCAAGGTGTTCCTTAAACTGATCTTTAATTAGTACTTAGATAAGACAAATGTAATGTATACTTAATATAAGACATGTTATATTGATTTGGGAGACATAGTATCTTATATCTACATGTTATTGTTATAACTCAAACAACTCACTGATATCCGTGACGTCGTTCCACTTCATGATGACGTCAGTGCAGAAATCACCTGAAACAATACAAACATCATAAAATCATTGATTGTTTTAAACTTTACTTACAAACCCTCTCGTTTTCAATCTCAAAATGTCACGTAGGAAGTATATTGATTGTGTCATATTGTAAAGTACCGAGTTGGCACTAACTGATACTCCTATTTTCATTGTTATTCCGCGAATAGACTGAACATACAATATCTACATCAGTCCTGCCAAGCCCTTGTCACAGTCGATCAAGCGGATCCCATTCAGCCAAATCATTTCCAAGTAAATCAATTATACTTCTATAAATAATATAATTAGCTGCTACTCGAAACTACCGCTACTTCACACTGCACAATTGAATCCACAATTATAAATATGCATTTGCAATGATATTTTTTATCTGTGAGAATGAGAATTTTCACAAAGGCTGCTCCTTTAATTATAAAGCATAATAGCGGAGAATTTGAAGTGAAAAAATGTGTTGTATTGCATACAATGAGTGTTGGACGCGTTTAGCTAACTGTTGGCACTCACGCGACCGGCCGCGTCGCACTCTGCACTCGCGGGCCGCGGGCTGCCTAAGTAAATGCATACGCACTTTTCATACACATTCTCTTAGCCTAGTCTAGCGATAGTCGACAAAGCAGTCCTCAACACCGTAGTTAACATGTAGACTTTCCTCCACACCTCATACTATTATGCAAATACACGTTTCCTTCTATTCAACAACAAGTATTTATCAGTTTACTTCTAGGAAAAGACAGCTAAGTTCTGCGACTGAAGCATATTATCTGGCGTTATATCATTTCTTCAGATTTGTAATTTGGTATGACTGATAAGTCCTATCTCCTAGTTAAGATAAACAAAGACAACAAACTGTGATCTAATTTTATACCGACGATAGTAGGTATATCTACTTACACTCAGATAAGATTTGTATTTAATCTGAAGCCGGTAATAAACAGAGAGTATTATATTTTTCGCTCAAAGAATAGGATTGTGGTGATTTCAGGCCATGTTGCTGTAACTGCCCTTTGTCACCAACGTCTCACTCGTGTACTGTGTATGTATGTATACGTTACTTTGCGATTAGGTATAACCTACGTCATCATGATACTTTACTAAGATTGTTTAATTGTTTATGCAAACCGTGGAGATATCACACAGAGTTCAGGCCGCGGTGGTCGTCCGGTCACCCGACACTTTATTTCAACTTTCGTTCCTTATCGAAACACTTAAACAAACAACAAAACAACAGTGACGCTATTTACCTCATCTAAATTACAAACAAAGTAATCTAATCTGTGACAATCTCGCGTGTTTTTCAATATTCTGAGATAACGAATGTGTTGTTCCTCGATGTGTTGCTGTCGTTGACGTTATTGATTAATGTTTAGGTGTTTTCCACAATAATTATACTTACCTAATCCACTAATTGTAGAATGGTTCAAGAGGATTGTGTTTATCTGACATTACATCATAGTTTTATCGTGAAAGATCTGTCTTGTACTTATAATGTTGTTATTGTATCATGCTCTTCCTCGACGGATAATGGGTTTTGTACAACGTTGAATGATTGAAGATTATTTTAACCAATGATTTATAGAGAATGATCATTACCTACATCAAAAACATGTTCGAAAGATACCGAATTGCGTATGAAGTCTGAATTATTTTTATGTAGGTACATAATTCATTTTACTTTAGCGATACGCAAATTGGAGTAGATGCCTGCAAAAAGTCGGCGGTGTTATGGATTTTGATTGATATAAGAATAAGGAACAATCTTTATCATGGCTTGCAGTGGATCAATACAAGCTAGAAATAATAAATAGCTGCGGTAAACATGTGTCGCGCCGTGGCTGCGCTCGGTCACGGCTCGGCCCGCGACCCAGTTGCCGCTCGGGGCGGCCGCGGCCGGCAACCGGCCGACGACCTCGCGGTTTCGTACTCCTTTCGCTAATTCCTTGCGAATTAATGAGTTTTAGATGCAGAGCTGTGTACCACGAGTCGATTAGAGAGCAGTGATGATAGACTAGTGTGGCAACACGATCGCATATCGTTGCTTCTTGCGTAGATAGACAATTTCAGATGCCGTGCTAAAATTAAGTATTTGGAGTTAAGGAAAGTTATTTCGTACATTCATCGTAAGTATTGTAATTTATCCGAGGACTATTATGATAAAAATAATAATAAACATACTTTCACAGCAGCATATCAAAAAGGTAACTTTTAGAATATCCTGAAGTAGGTAATTAAAGAAAAACTCGCGTATCGATTAAGGGTCCGCACTTAACCCTTGTATATGTACCCAGATGGGAGATTGATAGCACTTTCCTATGATCAGGTACAATGCGAGTCCGAATAGGACAATAAAGCATTGAAACAATATACTGAGTGTCGATGGTGCATCTGCATAGTTGGAGATAACAGTTGCTGGTGGTTTATATTTAAAGTGGGCTCACTGGGCACTCGGGGCTGTGTCTGACCAGTGGGCCATTTTAAATGGACGTTCACCTTTGGCTTGGGACGGTCTAGCTCAGCTACAAACGTGTTTTCCTAATCACGAACACCCTGGAGAGGAGTGGCAGCAGTCGGCTGTGCCACAGGACATTCGTTACACAAGTAGTTTGGTTGTTGTAAAACAGAAGGTAGGTACTCGAAATTTAATGTATCCAATGTGGCACTAAATGCAACTTCTACTTTGAATATTCCGTAGGTTCTACTACATACAATTCTCGTCCTAGACACGGTCCGTTAATTGTGGCAAATCTTCCTTATTTGAGTCTGTTTGTCCCCTGCACAGGTAGCAGAATGTTTATTATATTCTGTGATAATTAGCGCGCCATGACAGTGTCCGTTATAGTAGGAGGCGCGGAGCGTCATCGCGTCACTACACTTACTGCCGGCACAACCCGCACAGCGAAGCTACTGTTTGCTTGAAAGATTGAAACTTCTTCAGCGACACAGTTGATGCTGTGGCTGGGCGATTGGCTATTGCGCAACGATTCGATTTTCGGGAGCCATTATTTATATTATTATGAACTGTAAATTGTTAAATTGTTGTTTCAGGTCTATTTGTGATGGTACATATGTCAAATTGTGTGTTTGGAACGTTAAAAAACCTCTACATTACGCAAACGTAATATTAGAATACAATACTGATCCAGAAGAAGTAAACAATTACATTAAAATGAGTTAGTGGTGACTAGTCACGTACATAGGTATTTATACGCACATAAATAATGCTTTCCTTTGCATATTTATTATAGTTACTGCACAATATAATTTAAAAATTAAATGAATATTTTATTGCCGCCATTGTCGCCAACGGAACCTTAGAAACTCATGGAATCACGCTTACATAGTTACGCTTGCGATGCTTCTGAATACGTCAACCAGATATCAACCGAGATACGCTGATTGTTAGAAAATAAGTGTGTGGGGTGTACTCATTGTACTCGTATTCATGCTGTAATTATAATGCTCAAACATAAACTACGGGAAGGATGTTTATGACAAAAACAAACAGGTATTTTGGGGGGCAAATAGGCTATTAGATAATTTAGTCATTTTTCGTCAGTATTTGATGAAGAAGGCGGAAGGTTAGAGCGCTAGCGAGCTAGTCGGATATTTGTGATCTGGCGAGCTATTCGCAGTTGCGTGGCTGAGCGGGCGCGCGGCGTGCGTCGCGGTAACCTCCTCGACCCCGTTTCGGTTCAGAGTTGAACGGCCGCGCAGTACCTACTGTTTGCACCTCCCGCCGCCCGCGACTCCGCCGCTGTGCAGCGCTCTGCACCCAGCTCCCTCCCACCGCACCACTGAGGCATCGCAACTACACACTATGCGCCCACTCCATGCTAACACTTGCAACCATTACGAGCCTGTCAGAACCTGCACTTAGCAGCCATCATTCAATTGTTACCACAACAGCAACAGCCTTAGAACGCAATTATATTTTAATGAAGTACTCGGTGACAATGAAATAGGAGATATGACACGTATCCCGCACCACTTATCATAATTGTTGTAAACTAGATTTGGCGTGGGTACAAAGAACGTCGTACATTTGAATAAAAGTCTGTTCCAACAATAATGTTCATTACAGCGAAACATACAGCCCTCACGAAAACTAAACCAAAACATAACAGAACAAAATTATTGCGAACGTTTTAACTTTATACCAACAACAAGCAAGTTCGGAACATAAATATTATTGATGATGAGGGAAATAAATTATTGTAAAACATAGTCTCAACTTGTCTCCGAGTCAGTTCACATTGAAGACTGCTGATACGCAACAGGTTCAGAAGACTGCCGGTCAGTGCCAGCAGTGTCAGCATCCGAGTACGTACAAGTAAAATGAGTAGTAAGCAGTGGGAGAACTTCTGCGAGGGAAATGGCAATCATCCGATTTTGTGGAATAAACTATCGGATATTAATATTAATCTTGATTATAAAGAAGCAAGTGGTGACTAGCAGTGCTGTAGAACAAAATCAACAGCAGTGTGGAAGTACATTGCATTCTACTAATTTAAATAATTATATCAAACATAGATTTCACAAAAAAGAAACCTGTGACATTAGTGACATATATCCTACGAACACTGCAGTACTCTTATAGAGTAATATCAAGCGAGTAATAGCTGTGAGCTATTTAAGGACACTGCCTCACGATCGAATTTTAGTTCGATGGCCTGCTCATACTGGTCATATTATGCAAGCTTCAGTGAAGTAGGTGCACTTGATCGATGACGAGTTGAACAGTTCGACTTGGTGATAGACGGAAAATCCGTTCATACTACTATACACGCATATGTAGACAAACTGGACAGCCATTGTCTCTCTTGGAATTGTTGACATTGAGAAAGATGAATAAGCGATACAAATACTAACGTAGAAGGATTTATGAATTAAAGAGTAGGTGTTGAGTTCAGTGGTTGAAATACTGAAGAAAGTCTTAGACAGGAGGAAAATATTAAGAAGAAGAAGAGGAATACGGAATGTAAGTTACTGTCTGCAGCCT